CTTTTTGGAAATAGGAGTAGGAGTAGGGGTGGGCGTGGGCGTGGGAGTTCGTGTAGGAATGAGAGTGGGAGTTAGAGTAGAAGTGATGTGAGGTAAGGAGGAGTGTTGCGGCAAAGGAGCTTGTCTGTCTTAAATGCGCCCTATATAAATTAATAAACAGCCTCAATAATTAAAAATTCTACCCCAATTCGGACGAAGTCGCGGGCAAAGCTAGATAGCTATACATAGCTATTATTAGACCAACAAGTTTATGAAATATGTAAGAGTAATGACTTGCTAAAATGTTTTTGGCATAAATAAGAATTAATTTAACGATGAATAAATTATGTAATTAGTAAACAGATGTTGCTAGTGCTCATAACATAACAGAAAACAATAGCTTAAAATTACATAACAAATAAGATAGAACAAAATTGTCTATGAATAGTTCAAGAACCCGTTGAACTCAGTTGCCCTTAGCAGTCGGCTGAAGTACTAGTAATTTCTTCCCTAGGTAGACTGGTTATTGCGACGAGTTTAAAATAGCTTTGAACTTAGCAGTATTTATCTGAAACTAGCGACGCGCGCGACTTCGTCCGCGTACAATAATTATTTAGGGCAGCAAAGTTTTTTGCAAACAACCACCTCTTTACAAATTACTAGCTGCGCCTGCGACTTCATCCGCGTAGAATAGTTATTTTGGTCTTGAAATTTTGTTTCTTCGGTCACTGTGCTCTTGTAGATTAACATTTTTATAAAAATCTAAATAAATCAAGTCAAAAAATTGAAGTTAGGCTACTCTGCCTCTAGCGGTCTATACATATACATTATAGTTCTAATTGTATATACATATGGTTTACATACGATAAATCAATAAACATCGTGCAATTTGTATCGACATTTAATTGTGTTAAATAACATACAAACGAGATAGCGTTGTACATTGACCTATATTTTGTTTGATTTAATTTGCGTATTACACATGTTATGCGACTAAATTCTTATCAGTTCACAGAATAATTCATAAAAAATAATAATAATAATAAACGCCATAAATAAGAGCTGTAAACAATAGTACCGTTTAAATACACCCCTCTTAACGGTTTAAAACGCGAATTATATTCAACGCATTGATGCATCTCTCGCGCTTCCTCAAAGGTTTTCCTATTACTTCTATCAGTGCATTAATATAATCACCAGTTTTTATGACCGAACAAAAATCGATTAGACTAAGAAATGTCACGAACCCAGAATACCAACTAGATATTGGTAATAAATATTTACGAATATTTTTATAAATTGCACAATATCACATTAGAAATAATAAACTAAAGCAGTGAAATAAAAGAACCTAAATAAAAAATTATTAATTGAATAGTAAAACGCGTTAAACGGTTTAAAACTTGAAATGATTTAGCTAACGTTTTAAGGATCCGACGTTTTTAAATTATTTTCAGCAGCCGTGGTAACTAAACACACAATTCTTATTATAATTTTAAACTAACAAATTGATGACATAGCAGGAATTCAAACTTCGCACGGATTTCTACGGATTCAAACGAATTTCTTAACGTCGCATTTACAATTCCGATTTCATTTAAATAAAACACTAACCGCGATGTATATTAGTTAAACTTATTTTGAAATTATTTTAACTACGGCCCAATATTTAAAACGGTTTACGTGTTTGATTTAGTTGTCTACTAGTCGCGTTAATTACAGATAGTATTCCGATTTCATCTTTTTAACGTACTGTGTAGTTTTGTTTTATCAAGACTTTCACTTCGAAAGAGGTTACCGTTTCGGTGTTAACTGTTTCAGAACATACTTCAAAATAATTCTTACCTAACAGTGAAAGTAGGGTGATTTTTTTCGAGTCATTTCAACTGACATTGACATCGTTAAGATTAAGAAAGTGCGACAATAAGCTATGATAGAGGCGGACCGACAAACACGAGGTTTACTAGATGGAAGGTACCCAGCTATATACCATCAAAATAAGATGTGCTGTTGACCCTTTTTGGCTTTGTATATTCATATCAACCAGCAGTTCCTTCTATGAGTTAAAATTACTCTTCTCTCTTTCTTTCGTACATGTAGTTCCGTAAGGTTATATTGGTAAGTACGAAAAGGTCCTAAGTTTTTGTCGCATGAAGCATCTCATGGTAGCATGCCAAATTTGGATTGGTAGATGACATCGCAGTTTTCTGTTTTGTAATGTTTAAATTGTTATTAATAACGATTAGAAATGAGGGGTGGTTTAAAACGCGATAAACATAATATTGAAAAAATCAAAGCGTTTATATTAAAAGGCCAAAGCTTTCCTATTACATCAGACATAATAAAAAATATATACTCGGCTTTAGCTTCTATGTAATATTAGCAGGTCATTGTATTTATTAACTCTGTCTCATACGTACACGTAAGTGGACTAGGAAATCTACAAACAGTAACCGAAACACGATTTAATTTGAAAAAGCAGTTTAAAACGCGATATATTAGTTAAACTTATTTGAAAATGATTTTTAACTTCGGTCACGGGGAGACCACGGCTGCTGCAAAGCATCCGATACGTCGGGCCGAAGTTAAAAATCATTTTCAAATAAGTTTAACTAATATATCGCGTTTTAAACCGTTAAAGTGTTTTATTTAAATGTGTACTACTCGCGTAAACTACAGACAGTATTTAAAGCTGTTAAGTTTATCCCCGGAAGGAATTTCGACATTCCTTATTCAGACACTCCTTTATCATCCAGATTTCAGACGAGGTCCTCGATGTTTCAGATAAATAATAGATTGATAAGAAAAATGTTGGGCCTGGAAATGAACCTACGTCACGCTGGTTAGCCTTACATTGCTACCTGCTAACGTGCCCATCAAAATATAAATCAGTAATATTTCGTTCGACTCTGATTGAACTCTATCGCATTTAATTAAAATACTTCGTACAAACAATTGTAGGCTGCGAAAACAACGATTCGCAGTTTTTAAAATCAAAATAATGTGATCATTATTTTCGTGTTCCTACAATAGAAATTAAAGTTATTCTTGCCGGTAAGCATAGCAATTCGTTAGCGGGTCTTGGGTTCGAATTGCAATAAAAAACGAAATACTTATCCCCGCGGAAAAGTCAAGTATCGTTTATACGTATATTGCTCTACTTTTTCACAGAGGTTTAATTAGAGAAACAAAGATGTAACTAGAGCAAAAATCCACAATGAATTTGCACTAAATGTTCAAATTCGGTTCAAACTAGATTCGTCTTATAATAACAAAAGTTCCAACGAACGTAGTACGATTGTGTTAAATTAAATAGATCTCTTGTTTTAAAGTGACTGTGATCGACCTATCTATTGTATCGTAAGCAAAGATCAAATTGCATCGGTGGATCTTATTAATATTTCTCTAGAAATTTCTGTACTAAATGTTTAGATAGATACAATAACGCTTGAAGGCAAAGGGAGTTTTTGCTTTATCAATAATATTAAGAACAATCGTATTGCAATTGTTTTTGTTTAAACATTATTGTTGCGATGAAGTAGTCACAGCTGATTTTAGCTTAGTTTGTATTTTAAATCTCACCACGCCACCACCACCAAAAGCCACAATTTCAAAGGGAACATGAGAGTATAATCTAATATATAAAATTCTCGTGACACAGTTTTCGTTGCCATACTCCTACGAAACGGCTTGACCGATTTTTGTGCTTATCCGGTATCTATGAGACTTGGCCAACATCTATTTTTCATCCCCCTAAATGTTAGGGGTAGTCCACCCCTAATTTTTTATTTTTTAGACAAAATGTTTAATTTCTTTCTTTTATGATACAACATACAAAAATACATACAATCCTGAATTTTCACCCTTCTACAATCAACCCTTATTTTTTAGTAGCCATTTTAGTAATTTAATCATTTTTCCTCTCCCTGAAATTATTTCTATGGCAAAACAACATTTGCCGGGTCAGCTAGTGAATGATAAAACTCTACAACATTGAATTTAAACCAAGAGCTATGTGTCAATAAACATTTCAATCGCAGATGGATTATTATTATTTCTGTGCTTCAATGAAATTTTTCTCTACGAGCCATAACTTGGGAAAATCGAACGCGTAGGGTACAAGTACGTACAAGTGATTTTAATTCCAAAAATCTTACAAAAAAAGTTATAAATAAACGATAGGGCAAATGATTCAAAGAGTTAATCTAAGTCGTTTTAATTTAAATGAAAGCCACTTAGTACATAATGTAGGTACAGTCTTTATTTTGATATAAGTGAAAAAATTAATGAATTTTAATTATGATATTAATCATTACATAATATTAAAGCTGTCGTTTTTACGCAAATCGAAACCGATTTTACGAAATTACTGTATTATTTCTTACGTTACTTATTTCCACAATTATATCGTTGCTTTTATTAATTGCTAAGTCACAATTCTACTGAATATTGATGGAATTAATTATATTGGGTAGGTATTTTGCCACAGACCGTACCTACTATTGTAAAGAAATTGATAATTTAATTAAAGTAAAATCTTTCGCAGAACGATCATGCGCAGAGAAAATACAAAGCAGAATATAATTATTTGAGCAAAAGACAATATAAACTACCTAATTTATTTATTTTTTGCCACAGAGTAGCCAAGCGTACTAAAAAGCTGAAAAACAGCGTTATTTCACAAGTGTTTCACAATAATTAATTCTTACGTACATACATACATCTTGACATCTTATCATTGTTAATTAATAATAAATGTCTAACTATAATGCACGTCGAGTGACTTATCGTGTGAACTAATTTCTATCTTTGTGCGTGGTGCATAAAACGGCAATAATAGATTTATTGCAACTTCGGACTTAAGTATAACACAATCGCCATTTAATTTATTTCGCAAAACTAACGTTTACGGAATTTATTTTGTTTTTTTTTATTATATAGTTTTGTTATAACAAATTTAAGATTTGTATAATTAATATAAAAATATTAATTAGAAAATATGGGAATTTCGTAAAACTCACCTTTTCACTGATATCACTGAAGTCGGGAGTACAAAAATGTGTCAACAAATCTATCGATAACGATGCACAATATTGCACTATTATGTTATGATTATTATCGAAAAATTCATAACTCAACTGCGCGACGAATATTTCGTTTTCATTCGACTATTCTTATAAATTCGAACGCAACGCAACCTGTACCGTTTCGCGCGCAGCGGCACACTGAGCTGATCGTTCAGTGTGGTACGGTTTCCCACCGGTGCAGTGGTACAGCTGAACCCTGTCAACCCGGATGACGTCACGAGCCAGAACCTTGACGCATGCGCTCCCGGCACGCAACGCGTAACGCACTACCTGCTCCGCGGCGACTATTTTTAATCGCATTCAAATCTGTTTACCGATAAGCTATCGTAATTCAATGCCACTTTGTAATCATTATCAAACAATACAGCTAGTATGGAAAAAAACGAAGTAATTGTTTTCGAAATTTGAATATTTATAATTACTTGTCTTGCGTATTTGAGGCCGCGGCGAAAATTCTCTATCGCTAGTCTAAACTTAATTCTAAGAAAAAAATATTTATAGGGAAATAACAGAAAAAAACATTTTTTTTAATTATCTAAAAGTACCTAACTTGTAGACGTTCATGCCATAGATTTCCTCCTTTCTAGTTTTCGGCTTATTGGTGGTAGGTACACTAAACTCAAATGTAAACAATTTTCTCGTTGTATCCTAGATTACAAACAGATTACGAAGTCTACAAAGCTGAATCTACAAATTTGAATTACATTGCTAAAAATTTATTTATAGGTCGTGAGCGCGACTTTTATTATGCCCGTTAACTTTGGCTATGAACCAAACAGTCACGATACTTTAGTCGACTTGATAACGAAATATATCCTCGTTGTATCCTTCTTCTTCTTCTTGTCCTTTTTGGTAACTCAAACTGTACGCCTTATTTGGGACAGCTAGTATATACAGTATGTAGTTCAAGAACTAAATCTAATTCTATTGTATAAATTTAGAATCTATTTTTTTATACTTTGTTTTTTATTGTTCTAAATTTAAAATACTTCGTTTTAAATTCGTGTACTTAATACACCTTTGAAAACTTTATTATTTTTTACATGTTATTACACACGAAGGCACTATATAATTTAAAAATCAGAAATAAATTTTTAAAAATTTCGACTCGGGCAGGACTTGAACCGGCATCGTCAGCGTTCCGTGCTGTTGCTCTGAACAACATTTCGATTTTGAAATTAATACACCTTTCAGTACAAAGAGTTCTCCTACAGTTTTATACTAACAAAACAAACACTTTATAATTATCAAAAGTCCATTTTCTTAGTCAATTAAATCAAATCTATGTCTCAATTTTAGTTCCGTTAATTTATTTGTTTTATTGATAACTATTTAATGGTCAGTAGTGTTTTGTTTGCTCTCTTGATTGTATCACCAATTATTATGATATTAGGAAAGATAGCATTGACGTTTTACATCTACAATAACAAATAGGAAGATTAAAGTGGCAAGAAATAGATTAGATTAATTTGGTAGAAGTTACTAGAACAGTAGAATATATACCTAATAGACTCTACCATTTTCTACTTTACAAATCTCTGTTACATGTAAATGCTGTGTGGTGAAGGTGTGTTTTTACAAAGCAAATAAAGTATTTAGTAACTAGCTGCGTCAGTGACTTCGTCCGCGTAGTATAATTATTTTAGGCATCATTATAAATTTAAGCTGTTTCCCACGACGTCGGTCGTGTCCCGTTCTTGCAAGTTAAGCTTAAAAGAGGAATCATCCCTATATAAATAAAACACTTTAACGGTTTGAAACGCGATATATTAGTTAAACTTATTTCAATATGATTTTTAACTTCGGCCCGACGTTTCGGATGCTTTGCAGCAGGAATCATCCTTTCATACAAATGTTTTGGGTATCTCGAACAGTTTTTGCAGCGAACACAACGGTAAACTCACAGAGATTTCCCGCTGTTTCTTCGGTTATATTGTTCAAAGCGCAATGTTTTATAGCCCATAACCGCTCTCGATAAATACTCAAACCAATACTTTACTTTAAATTCAAACAGTAGTTCTTGAGATTAGTGCGCTCAAACAAACAAACTCTTCAGCTTTATACATTAGTATAGAAATATAGATACTCCTGTATAAATGCATGATGCCTTCGAGCATTGATTGGCATAAGCAAGAGTAACCAACTAATTTGTAAGCTGGTAGTAATAAATATCTACATACTTTAAGATAAATATCGTTATAGGGATACCAAAATCTACTAGTCCCGTGACCACGGCTGTTGAGAAGTATTAGAAATGTAGAGTCGTTTAAAATATAGAGTTAGTTTTTAACCGTAATAAGAGTTTAATCTCGTAGCTCAATTTTACTTTTATCCTCTCGAAATATTGCCTTTTTATAAAGACTAAGGTCTATTTTTAGACATCGTTTTTCCTTACTATGTTCATTTCCTAGCTAAACAAACCTACACCAACAAATAAGTCATTAAGATCTTATAATAGATACTTCTAGGCGTAGGATCACAGATTTTTTGTTGTTTGAACATGATATACGTGGCTGATAAGACGAATAGCATCTTGATTCGTTTAAACAACGTATGTAGGAAAGAAACCAAATTGCCCTGAATGAAAATGACTTCGGAGATACCGTGTTTGTTCTCCATACTACTCGTATGAACCTGTGAAATGTTTTCACGTCTTAAAATATGCTTTGAATGAGTGACAATTTAATGCGAATCTTAAACTTCACCCAGTCTTCCCGTGACCACGGCTACTGCAAAGCATCCGAAACGTCGGGCCATAATTAAAAATAATTTTTCAAATAAGTTTAACTAATATATATCGCGTTTTACACTGTTAAAGTGATTTATTTTAATAATGTTCCTTTTTATTGGAGACTAGCAGTGCCTGCGACTTTGTCCGCGTGCAAAAGTTATTTTCGGCATCATTTTTCAATTATCTTTCTCAGCTTTATAAATTATTATGACGTCGTTTGCATCCCGTCGCCAAATTAATATTAAAAGATAGATAAACCAATTAAATATTCTATTACATAGTACCATGACGTTAGATATTAGAATTGTTCCCGCGCAAATCAATCACCAAAAGCAAAATGCAATCTGTCGAATCAGTTTATTGATTCTATACTCTATGCCATAGACTACGTATAAAAACCATATTATAGTCTATAAATATAATATACACACATTGTTAAACTGTAGTTCCCAACATTATACGACTCGTATAAATTAATAATAAATAAAATTGTTGAAATCAACACGTGCCGACATCACGTGAACGGACATAGATAAAAACTAGCGTAAATTAAGTGTCAAAATAAAATTATAATAATTACCATATATTACTTCGCTTAGAGCGGTAGGTGTTAATTGATTGGACTTCTTTAGACTTAAATGACAAGTTATTGTTCTTATTTTTGTCTTTAATGGCCAGAAGATATAACTATTAGCCAGTGTCATGTTAAAGTTATTGTCCTTCAAAGAACCCAAAATGGCATATCGACTCTTATATTATACTAAATTTTTATAATAAAGGCTAAAAGACAATTCGACAATGAAATGTTAGACATGCAGCTCAATTCGTATGAGGAATAACGCAAAATGCGGCGATTGTGGATTCGAGTTTCGGCCAGGTTATCAAAATTGACAGTCTATCAGTGGATCTACTTATATTTTTAAGAAACTTAGCTTTGAGCATATAGCTAGTTATTAAAAATCAAGTTGCGAGAAAATATAAATTTCAAATAATAACTTATAAATATGTTTTATTGTTAAGTATACTGTAATAAAAGTTACTGATAGATAAAAGTGAAATGCCGTTTCCCCTCGTAGGGCATAGGGCGAACACACGTAGTTGATCAGACTTCTGTACCCTGCCCGACCGAAACAATTTACCGTCCCGCGGGAATTGAAACCAGGAGAGCTATAGAGGCAGTCATACATATTAATAGATGCGTATATAAAATATAATTGATACAAAGAGTTAATAACTACGCCAAGCCAAACATAATTTTAAGGGAGATAACGAGCTTTTTCGTACAAAATATATTAATACAACCAATACACAATCAACATCATTATCCGATACAACATTAAATCACTCATTACAAAGGTGATAACTGACCCGTAGGAAACTTTACGAGGTATTGACCGAACGCTTAATAACCGGAAATGCGGAAAACAAGAATCCGAAAGTAATGAAGTGGCATTTTTGTAAATTCAAATATTACAACGACACATGAATTTTAATTTAAGGTTACCGCCATCTTTGGTGTGCCAAATCTTATGTTATTGACATTTTCGTAGTGGGCAGTGATTTTTCCTTCTTTTGCACTTCTGAAATTGCATCGTCCTTTGTTGGTAGGCAATTTATTTTTTATTACGATCAATCTAACGATATCGACCACACTCGATGATTTTATGAGGTGATAAATGACTATTGTTTCAATAAAAACAATATTGTTCCTCTTTACAAGATATACATATAATATATTTTCTTGTAAAGGGTTGCTGTGCTTTCTTTGCACTACTGTCAACATTTTGATGCATTTTACTATAGAAAACCTTTTTAGGAATCATTTGTTTTTTTAGAGAAAGAATATAGAATTATTACAATCATTATTAATGAATTTTCTTATTGAAATAGTGTTATATGAGTGGTACGCTGTAAGTTCTTCAGCGTTTTTTAATGACAAAGGATGACAAACGAGCATACGGTTTACTAGATAGGAGATGAAATACCGATTATGAATATTGACCTATTTTTGGTTCGGACTCACTAGTATAAGAAATTATTATTAACACATAAATGATCTCTCAGCCTACAAGACTAAGTATAAATGGATAAGGAGTGGACTTTCAGTTTTTTTTATGTTAAGCACAATCCCATTGCCGCCTCTGTAACCACATGGTAATGCAATCAAACAAAATTATAATGTTAAAGAAGTTAAATAAAATAAATAAATGCTTGGCAATACGTTTAGTATTGCCAAGCATTGCATTAAGTGCGAGAGGTCCTGGGTTCGAATCCCAGGGAAACATAAAATTGTTTCGGTCGGGCAGGGCACAGAAGTCTGATCAACTACTTGCCCGTTAAAAGAATGGATCAGTGAAACGGACACAGAAATGTGTTTGCCAAATGCCCCACGACGGGGAAACGGGCTTTCACTTCACACAAGCTTGACAAATGTATCAGAGACAACCTAGAATCTACACAGATCTATTAATATATGTAGATCATACTCACGATCATATGTAGGTATATTATAATAACTGAAGAATAGCCTTAATCGTATTAACGAAACTAATATGTAGGCAACTCACGAGTGTCATCCTCATAACATTTTTAGTGTCCTATGTCATCTATTCTAATATTATAAAGCTAAAGGAGTTTGTTGTTCTGTGTGTTTGAACTCGATAATCTCAGCAGAAATAGAATACTAATATATAAAACTGAAGAGTTTGTTTGTTTGTATATTTAAACGCGCTTATCTCAGGAACTACGGGTTCGAATTGAAAAAATATTTTTGTGTTAGAACATTTATGGAGGAAGGCCGTGTGCATGCCAGGCATGTTAGCTATAATACATCGCACTGTGACTAATAGGAACGAAGAAACAGCGGGATTGTGGAATAAATCTGGAAAATTATTTATCGTTGTGAGTTTCCGATGCGTTCGCGTGCTTTAAAAGATAGACAATCTTTTAAAGTTAACTTGCAAGAACGACGGGAAGCGACCGACGTCGCGGGTAACAAACCGCCTCGGTTTGCAAAAATAAATTCGGATGGCCCTAAATAAATGTTCATCAAAATTGTCATCGTTGCAAAAGCAGGCATTATTTAAAGATTTTTTTACCTGTTTTCTGACACTGATATTGACAGCTGGGCTACTAAGTAAAGTATCAATGATGAAAAAAAACCAATGCTTTCTATTACAACGAGGCACTGCGAAGCAAAGCTAGTGTAGGATAAAAATTATTCACAGACTACAAACGATAGGCGAGTGACGTGTCAAAAGGAAGTCAATGTACTTATAAGTAACATTATGCAAAAATAATAAAGAATATAATGTAATTACCGTATACAAATTGCTTGTAATATGTTTCGGGAAGTAGTTGATAAATAATTTCCCTATGTTATGCTCGGAGGACAATATTCATTAATAAAATATACCAACATACTATAATCCTCAAAAATTGAGTGTATTGGGCTTGTTATCCACCGTTTTCACCAAGTCTACGGGAAGGGTAATTAGTTTGCTAGTATATTCCAAATGTAAACAAACAGGTTTCGAGCAAAAAAGATTGGTAGTTAAATACTGTCTATAAGCATCCGAAACGTCGGACCGAAGTTAAAAATCATTTTCAAATAAGTTTAACTAATATATCGCGTTTTAAACCGTTAAAGTGTTTTGGTAGTGTATTTAACAACTTATTTTTTATAATTGTTTTTGTAACAAACTACGATTATTATTAGTATATACGTTAAAATGCGAAATAATAAAAATTATCATGTGTATATTACGTAATGATTTATTTTGTTGTAGGGACGATAAAAACTAAACAACTATTATAGGGATAATAAGCAGGTAGATTAAAAAAACACGAGTACCTATCGAACAACTTTACAGAATCCACATTGGGGAAAGGCAGAAGTGGAGAATAGACTTGGAAAATGTGGGCACGGTGTGCTACACAGATGGTTCCAGGAAAGAAACGACAAAGCTCTCTGGGTCAGGCATATATATGAGATGCGAGGACGGAACAGAGATAACAAGATCAATCCCTCTGGGGAAACTTGTTAGCGTATTCCAGGCGGAGTTATTCGCTATCATGGAATGTGCAGAGATTGCCAGGCACTTAAGACCCCTGTCAAGTGTTACTATTTACAGTGACAGTCAGGCGGCACTTAAAGCGCTATGCAAAGAAGAGACAACATCTGCTACTGTCAAAGAATGCAAGAAAGCACTGCACAAACTAACTGATCAGGTAGAAGTGGCAATTGCCTGGGTCCCCGGACACCAAGGAAATATTGGCAATGAGAGAGCGGACGAACTCGCTCGCGAAGGAGCCGATGAAAGCTTGATTGGGCCGGAACCGAGACTTCCGATAGCCCATAAAGTAACCAAGGGAATAATCGAGCGCAGAATCATAGAAGAAACAAACCAAAGATGGAAATCTTCGACGGGAATGAGACAGTCGAAGATATTCATACATAGCCTAGACAAAAAGAAGACCAAAAACCTGATGAGATTAACGAGAGCGAACATCCGACTCATCGTAGAGATCATAACAGGACATTGCCGTCTAAACAGACATCTTACAATGATAGGAATAGGCAGCGACCCCCTATGTCCGGAGTGCAGAGAAAGTGAGGAAACAAGCATCCATCTACTCACTGAATGCTCTGCATACTCGAGGCTGAGACAAACACATATGGGTTCGGACGAAATTACAGAAGATGAGATCAAAGAATTACAGATGGAAAAAATTATAAGATTCTGCAAGCAAACCGGAAGGTTTGAAGGGGACACGGGGAGAGTTGGATGACCCAAAACCTCCACAAGGTGGAAATGGGGAAATGGGTGAAATGGTCAGCTGATAGTGTGAACTGATCACCCGTCCTACCACAGGTGTCCCCGAGAGAAAATAATAATAATAATACCTATCGAACAAACATACTTTCTTATTCTCTGAGAAAAATTATAATCGTTTCAGCGGAAAGTAGCAAGAACGCGATGAATCGTGTAATTTCCCGAACAAGTTAAACCGGTGGAATTTTCACAATTATTGTTTTTACTTCTTTATCTGTAATTTTTATGATGCTTGTGACTTAAGTCCAACATAACATTGGATAGGTAAGGGGGAGTTTTTTTTTAAGTAAATAAGCTATGATTGACTTCTTAAACGCTAAACGCCTGCAAGCTTGTACAAGTAAGAAATTAAAAATCATAATTAGTACTTGTGAGATTTTGACATAAAATCCGTACCAAAGTAAAAAACAATTACATGCCGGTAGCTAAGCACACTTAAAGACAGTTAAAAAATAAAAACTAATTTTTTTTTTATGATAGAGTAGGACAGACAAGCGTGAGGTTCACTTCATGGGGAGTTCATTACCGCAGTCATATAACATTACAAAGAGATGTGCTATCGACCTATTTTTGCTCTGGATATTCGGAAAGACCGAAGCCGAAACTCGATTAAAATCCACGTCTTTTTGATGTTTGAACAGTGGTTCGTGATCCGGACGGAATTTCGACATTCCTATCACCCATTAAATTCATTGTCCAACGAACGAAAAATCCACCATTATACCGAGTACGTCAAACTAAGCCAAGGAGAATACAGGAAAAATAAAATAAACGCAATAGCTTATACATTTATTTATTCTACACGATAATCCTATAATAACCCCTCCATTTCCTTCATAAACTGCATGTAAGCGTCGTCTTTGGTCGGCTGTTTGGGAGCCTCGGTTCTGTGCACCATTGTCTTGTGTTCAGGTCTGGCCCTCTTGTCTTCACGTTTCACACGCAACGCAGATGGTACGAAGCGGGTGACGTCCGCTGATAGATTCCGTATTTGAGGCTTGGCGCTTATAGTTGCACCTGAGGATAATTATTTACCATTTTTTTTACATGTTATTGCACATGAGGGCATTATATAAATTAATAATATATAGAGTGTATTTTTTCTAACTTGACAAAAGATCACAACAAATATGGCCGATTTTAATCCATAGAGAACTAGTGATGCCCTTTAAGAGAGTGTAAGTTGATGACAGATGACGGGGATAAAAAAACAATAATTATATATATACCAAACGTACAAACAGCAACATTTAAAATAATTTTTATGACGACCTATTTTTATTTCTTATATAATTATTATTAAACTCGATGTTTTTAAAGCTGGAGCGTGGATGAATGAGACCCTCTATTGTCGTTGACTTTGCTTACATCCTAATCCCTATGAAAATGTCAAACTTAAGAATCGTATCGTAATTATTTACTGAATTTACTTAAATGGACAGATTTTTACGATCTTTATTGATTTTAGCATAATATTTTGGTTTTTACTAAGTGAATTAAAGGCTATATAATCCAGTGTCTCAAAGTGCTATCAGTGTAAATTAATGTGAACCTTGTGTGAAAATCACGATTTCATGTAAATTGCTTGTTTACCAAAAATGACAAGTTAATTAAATATAGATACAAAATAAAATTAGCTCAATTGGTTACAGCAGTAGCACGGCACGGTGTTTTTATCGAAATATATTTCTTTGAATACATTTGCTAGCGACATTAGCTAATAGTTTGTATTAATACAATGAAAATGCTATTGTTAACATACGTTAATAATAAATGAGAATTTCATAAAAAGATAACAAAGACTTGACGTCATTTCGAATGCAAATGCGACGTGTATTAATTAAATATAATTAATTTATAAGAAAATATGTAGATTTACATAAGTATGTTGCATTAAACAGCCAAGTATGTCTGGCATGTTCTTGTTACAATTCGCAAACAACTCGGATCTCCTCTATGAATGAAGCCTTATTAAACTGATATATTCTTTGTAACGTATTATTCCAGCAAAAAATAGGGAGGACACTTATCTTTTGCTGGATAGATGAACTAAACTAACAGTTTTACAATGTTGGCTATTCGTACACTAACGAACACGGTTGTTCACAGACACAATTATATGTGTAACTTAACCGAGGTTGCTTGAACTTGAATAAAATTTACTTCAAAGAAAACTACAATCGATGTATGATGGTACTATATGAATTATTCATATAGTCCCATCATGTGCAATCACATATGATATACGAATATATTCGTTTAGCGAAAACTGATATTTCTGAATTACTCACTCTGTGACGCGTCCTTCTTTTTTATAAGCTGTGGTGCAGCAGATAACACCGAGACATGCGGAGGAGGCGGTGGAACGAGCGGCCGTAGGAGACGTGGAGGGGCACCCGGTGGAGGACCAGGTGGTCGGAGTGGCCCTCTCCCTGGGAGACCAGGGGGTGGTCCTGGTGGCATAGCTCCCAAAGGAATTCCCGGTGGGGGCGCAGGGGGCACACCGGGTGGAGCCCCGGGCGGTGCTCCTGGAGGCATTCGTAACATCGGTGGACGAAGACCTGAAAAATGTTAAAAATATAAATCTAATTATTAACGGACTTAATGTGTACAATATTTAAAAACTTTTTGACTTGTGTACATAATTGACAATCACAAATGTTAAGGGGCATAAATATTGTCCTATGAAGTTGATTTGTACAATATGGCCTATCCTAAACCAAAGCAAAATAAGATGTTAGATAATTGTCCAAATACAAATTAACTTTACTTTAATTAGATATATTTTAGTGGCCTAATAACAAAAAATATGATTTTTGCAATTAACTAAGGCGTAAATTATTTTGTACTATTTTTTGTGTACAAATTATTTTAAAGATTATTTACTGTGCTCTTGTAGATTAACACTTCTAGACTATGAAAACATAAACAATTCAAGTCATAAAATTATAGTTAGGCTACTCTGCCTCCCGCGTCCTTATTTCATATCAAAAGGTATAATATCAAACATATAACTTATGTTGTAAGATAAATAATTTGGTTTTATGCATTACTTATTATATATTATTGATATTTACAGGTAAAAGCATTTTTTGTATTTACATAAAACACACAAACAAAAGGTTACATATTCTTTGACTGTACTCAAATTGTACTAACCAGGCAACAGCGGTGGTGGTATCCCCCTAACCTCAGCGCCAGGTGGTTCAATGTTATCATTGAGCTGCATGTTCGTTTGTCCTTCTGGCTCGCTGTCAGTATCGCTATCACGACCATTTGGTACGCCTGAGCGCTTAAGAGCACTTAACCTGTTACATACAATATTACTCATATTATTAATAATATAATACTTTCTTCATAATTATCAAATACTAACGTGATATTTTTACATTGAAAATCTTTTTTTTTCTAGTGTTGCGGACATTTAGTAGTTCATACATAGTTGTTTCTTAAATGGTCTGAAAAACGAATAATTTTCCCTGTTTCTCTCTGTTTTTTCCAGTCTGGTGTTTTATAATCTAAATTGTTCCTCAATAAATAGTCTAACCAAAACGAAAAGAATTGTTCAATTCGAACCAGTATTTCCAGTGATTAGTGCGTTTTAACAAACAAACAAAGAAACTCTTTAACTTTATAATATTAATAAAGATTGTATCAAACTTTTAATTCCTTCACACAATCCAGAGCAGAAGTACTTAACATAATAAAACTTTTAGACCGTAAATGATAAACTAGTTAAACAAGATTTACATAAATAAATTGATTGTGTGAAATTTGTTTGAAATTATCAACAAATAAAAAATAAATCATTTGGGTAAAAATGTTCGCTAAGTAAATATTTTGAGGTTATTTTACTTAAACATTTAAAAATAGCTAACCTAGCGCTCAAATCAGCAGCTCTATCTCTTTCCCTCTTGCGATGAACCTCTTCCATCTCTTTCATAAAGTCGTCTATATTCTGGCCTGAGAGCGCCAACATCCGTTGCTGCAGTGAGGTGGGCTTAGGAGCCGCAGCGGGGACACCAGGGCTCTGGGGTCGATCTTCATCCATTGCTTCACCATCCAAATCTTCTAGATGACCACGAGGAGCTAGCATCTGAAATTTGAAAATAAATGTACATATGAAGACATTAGTTCAACAATTATATATTTTTTTGTCAATCAAAAGGATAGCAAATAATAAAAGATGGAATAAATAAATAAGAAGTGCTGGATAATCAACAAATACGGGGCGCAGTGAACTATGTTTGTATCTGTAGAAGTTTAATTAAAAACGTTATAAAAAATTTGCTGGAATTGGTCTGTATCTTCACACCATAGAAACTAACTCTCTTATAAGAATAATTATTGTGTTACATTTTCAACAAAAATCTACATACCATCAGTCTGTTCTAGGGTTAATAATGCAAATATATATGATATTTTTACTAACGTTAAGACCCGGTGGACCTTCATCGGGAATGTCTGAGAATCGAAGAGTTTTCTTCTCCATTAAAGATTGTAGCTTGTTGACTTCTGCCAAGAGACAACCATAATCAGGCGGCGGACCTGGTGGCACACCTGGTGGTTCTAGACCCGAAGGTCTTTCCTATAAAAAATGTGTTCAAACATAATAATATATTTAACATTTTTACAAGTGGTGTAGAATAGACTTGAATGTCAGCTGACGAAAAGACATAAAAATTAGAAAACCTGATGATCAATTTTCTCATTGGGGTGTGATTCCTGGATAACATAACTTTACAAAGTAGTTTACATTATTAAACTTTTAAAATTGTGCTTTACATAGACTAGGATGTAAATTTGTCAGTAACAAAAGATTTATAAAATAGTTGCACAGGATTTGTTCACTGGAAACTAAGTTAAGTCTTTGCAGTACTAACTTACAGTTTGTCTTAATGTTATAGACTATAACAACTAACGGTTGCAGAAAGTCATGAGCAAAACACGTACCTTGTACACAGAGTCCTTCTTTAGTATGGGTTTTATAGGTGCATTTGGATGCAGACTGTCTGCCGGTAGAGGTATTTGTAATGGTAGATTTCCATAGATCAAATTATCGGGAACCTAAAATTATTATTCTTACTAAAATTTAATACATATAAGTAACCAAATTCATTTAATGTCTGCTTTTATCTGTAAGAATAGCTTTAATTGAAAGTGTACTGCTTGATAAATTGCAGATAAAAGTTTACACAAATTAGGTACATAGTATTTTCATTTGTTTAAACTAAACAATATAATACTACATAACTATACAACTTATACAATATATTTTAATACTACCTATATATTTTGTTCTGAAACAGGGAAAACATTACCTGCAATGTCGGAAGAGGTATATCATCAACCTGCACGGATTGGGCATGCTTCACAGATTCATAGTAGGATATCAAGTGGGCTCTCCGTTTTTCATATTCCACCTCTTGGCGTTTTAGATCAACCCACTTTTCAGGATCATCTTTGTACTGGAAATATTAAATACCAAAGGTCATATATAATTAAACCTATTCACTCCATGAAAGGTGAAAAGCCTTATTGCATGTAAACAAGATGCACAGTAGACCATAGCTTTATATTATAAATTCTACAAACTGAAACCAAAGTGTGATTAAACTTCATAGCTTTTTATTCTTGACCTGTTTGGAATATCGATAGTCCTACCACCCATTTAATATCAAGATTTCCAGAATCTAACCCACAACATGTTGATTATTAGCTACATGTGACGAGCCCTCAAAGTGTTTATGAACAAATGTCAGACTACCTTTTAACTACATTTTCTACATAATGTATGTTTCATAAACAAAAAATGTCTTTTTGTAGCCTACTTTAATACAATAAGTAAATTATTGCTTGTACCTTCATAACTAATCTGACTAGATCCATTGGAAAAACAAATGTTTCATTGATAATGGTTGTAAACAACAATTCACTGTTACAATACTTACATACATCTTAAGTACTCTATCAAATGTTTCTTTTAATTTCTTTCTCTTCTCTTTCAACACCTTTTCATTGAGTGGTGATGGTTGTAAAACATTATATTCTGAAAATCATAGCTTAATTGTAAACAAAATAAAATAGAGGTATACAAGTCATACAAACACAGGAATCAGACAAATATTTTAAACTTTGTTTGAAATAAACTGTAAATAAACTAGAGTATTCGAGGTAAGATTTTAAACTGAATAAGGATTGGACTAAGTACCCATTTCATCAATTTTTTGTAGCTCTTCTAAAATCTGTGTAGGGTCTTTCATCTTAAGCACAGCAGCTCGAACCATTTGACGTTGCCGTTTATTTTTCTTAAGCTCTTTCTTGCGGGCTTCCTTACCTAAAATAAAGTAATGTTTTAGAAACAAATAGTATTTTGAAATTTAAATAGGTTGCTATTGTACTTACGAGCTTGATCCGTAGGATTCATGTATTTACCACTCTTGGTGGTATTTATCGATCGTCGCCCCATTTTGATTAATATAAAAACGACTTCTATATACTGATAACACCTTTCGTAGTTGATTTCATTAAATATTAACAAAAAAATACAATTTTGTAACCAAATTATTTCTAGCTTCCCCGCTCACCATGATTGTTATATTGTCACTGTCAAAGTCATTATTAGTGTTAACTATCAAATGTCAATTATCGATATTGATGATAATTGTCAAAAGAAAATTATACTCTGTATATTAAATATTATGTACGTTCTAATGCATAGAGTTTCTTAGAGCAACAACAATAATTATAATAGGAAGGTGTATTTTAGTTAAAATTGACTTTAGTAAAGTCTGCTATGTAGTCAGATTGTAATAATTAATATAAATTGTTTTATTTTATACACCAGACCAGTGCTAACAAATAAATTTCAATAACTTAGTTAATGCGTATTGATTTGATATTTATTTGTTTGAAAGTAATTATGTGTTCAAATAAATAAATCGCCGACTTCGCCGTTTAAGCCCACCAAGCCTTATTGGATCAGCGCGGTGCTAAACTGGAAAACGCTTTCTCGTAAGGGAGAGTACATACCAACAGTTATTTAAATAGGTTATTAATACTCATAAATTATAATTATCAATATATTATAGTCGTTAATTATTACGACTCTCAAATTAAATTGGTTGTCCTTCTTAAGACATCTTTATTGTATTAGTATGTTATGACCTATAATTAAAAAAAGTAGAGTCGTATAAGATATAAAAATACTTTTTATTATACCATCATTTACGTTTATTCACTAAAATAAATATTTTTACGTTGTACATAATTTTTTAACATAAACTTCAATATGTAAATTCGGTTTTCAACGTTTCAAATTCAGTAGACAAAATGTATTCCTTAAGGTTTGGTACTCATACTATAGAATCAGGTTTTATAAGTACTAAGTAATGTGTCTGCCTAGCGCCAGACTAAATGTTATATAGATGCTTAGATAGTATTTACGCGAGACGGCTGCGACGCTTGTATTACGTACTACGCCACATGCACACATACACAGTTTTACGAGACATCCACTACGTCTGCACAAATACCTATAATCAACCACTCGCTGATTTCATTCATGATCGAAACTAGACCTCTGCTAGTGCCCTTCTCTCTCTCGCGAGTCCACCGTATGTGCGCCTGAGACAGACACACTCCGATGACGAAATAGCGTTTGTTGAACCAATTCGTCGGCTCGGGTCGGAGTCTCGCTCGCTCGACGGTCGGCCTCGGGTTTCGCGCAGTGGCGAAGAACGCGTCGGAAGCGTGCGTTGCTTTCTGGTGGCGACATACGCCGTAGCGTGTCTTTAATCATTGATGCAAAAGTTTCATAATGGTCGATCACAACGAGAAAATACTGCAGGAGCTACTAAAGAAACCGGGGAATAATGTGTGTGCCGATTGTGGAGCCGGGGGTATGTTGTGTGTTTTTGATAGTGATTCACATTGCCTTGTAAAAGCGTGGTATTTCCATGGGGTGGTGAATAGGCGGGGGGCGTAAGTGCGTCCGTGCCCTGGAGTTCAGTGACCTCCAAGTAAAATGCATTCATTGAAAACAAATCGAAATAAAGTGTTGTACAAATTACAATAAACTGTTCTCAATGAGAGGAGAATTCGTAAGTAGCTTATAACGGCTCGGTCATTAGTTTCCGGTTATGGTTCCGTAAAATGACTAAGCTATAGCTAAATATACAAAACAGATAACGTCTTATAAACTGTAATTGGCCAAATATGATACTCGTAAGCTCTAAAATAGGTCTCAAAGGGTACATTTTTCGTAATCTACTCTACACACTTCACAATAACAAAACGTGATTCATTTGTACCTAATAGGTACGTGCTGTTATCGACGCGCTGTATCGATCTTAAAGCTTTACCGTTAACAACGGATTTTCCTGGAATTGTTTTTTTAATCCTACTTTGAGTGCAATAAAGTATCTATAAGTCCGCAAATTTTATGACGCACTTCCAAGAATTCCTTTTAAAAGTGAAAGCGGCAAAACCCCAGTAAGAATGGAATTCTTTCGAATACCTTTCGAATGACAGAGCTAGCAATTCTGCATAACTCAGGATGTCAACGAAAACGAGAACCGACTGTGTGCTATTTGTAACGATATTATATCACTATAAAACTACCGAAATCCGTGGGTTAGCGATATAACGTGCCGTTTAGCCTTGGGGTAGGTAAGGTTCGAATCCTGCGAAGTTTAACTTATTTTGGCGCAAAGCACACTCATCGATAAATTTAATCGGCCAGCATTGACACAGAGAGAGAAATTTGTCCGTTCTATTCCTAGTAGAAGCAAGATTTCACATGACACGAAATAATGTCGTGGTTTATTGCAAATTTTATCTCTACCGAATAAACTCACGTACGTTAAACGTCAAAAAAGTGTATGACGAATCACATACGCAGTTTCGTAAATAATGATGACAATCTGTCATGTACGTGGGTACGTCATAATCCCAATTTAATATTTTCAAACTTGCACATTTATAGGTACAATATTTTCTTATTTAAACATGCTCTGTGGTACTTTTAAAATTCAAATATAGAGCTATATTCACTTTGAAATATAATTGTCTCTGTAGTTGGCCTGAAATAATATATTGTTTAAATTCTCTATGGTCGCTTAGAAACTGACTATATAATACATGTATATGTATTACAAATATATAAGATTTTTTAGTAAAGAGGAAAGAAATACACTGATTTTTTAAACTAGGGGTAAATATTGTTTTTTAACTTGTGGTTAATAAATATATTAAAATATCAATTTAATAATTCAATTGATATATTAATATAAATCTCATAAAAAGTTCAATCTAGGATATAGTTATAATATCTTAGGTAATCAAAAGTTAGCTAAAATGAACAAATCAGAGAAACGTCGAGTATAGGTATAGGAATTTACTAGAATGTCTATGTATACAAGTTGGTAATGTTAATTAGTTATATTGAGGTAAAATTAAAAAGGTGAATGTTTTTATAGAGACTACGAAATTATATATCCTCCTTTCATGTTATTTCTTATCTGTCTAAAGGAACAGCCATACTAATGAAGGTTTTCCGTTTTAAAACGAATGACGATAATGTGAACGACACATTAATGAAATGTTTCAATTAAACTTTTATCAATGAATTCTTATTCTTCGCACGTTATCCAATACATTTTAATCTTTGTAATTAAGTTCATTGACATTTCGTGGACCTGCTTCGGTAGTCACATTAATTATATTCGGAGGTGATTTTTAAATAGGCAATTACAATAGGGCTCTTAAACTATTTTCACTTAATTAAAATTTAATTATTTTCATACGAAATCGCTTTCTGTTTGTGTACGTAGATAAGGATACACTGAATTTATAAATATATTAGGGAGAGTGTTTTATGACGCAATAAAAATATCAATTTAATTATGCAATTAAAAGTATTTTATCTCGTATTTAATTACAGGATAACTAGTCCCCTTTTCTTTGATCTTCGAGTAAGATAGAGTAAGGTTTATCAACAAATGCATAAAAAAGGAGAGTCATTTCATTAATGTAACATTATTAGTTGATTGCATATAAAATACTTGAAAAAATTAGAGTCTGTTTACAATATATTACGCAATAATACCTAGACAAAATGAAATTGGGGTTTCTATTGTTAATTTCCGACCTGGATAACATAATTATCCATTAGATAATTCAGCTGTATTGACCAGTCGCTGTTTGCAATTATTTATACTGAAATCCAAACTTTATGTGAATTGTATAAGGGCATTTTGTTTCTGGGATGTTCGAGGCGTTCGACCGTCGTAATTGAGAATTGTTCTCGACGTTTCGTCATCACGAGTGGATAATGAATGAGATATGAGTGTGTATTCATTTTATTTGTATGGCTGTAACCAGGAACAAAGTAGAGTCAGAGATTGAAGTTATAGTGACGATTAGAAGACGGCAATACAAATACAGTAGTGATAATATTGTACATATAAAAACATGTATATATTTTAGATTAAAAAAGAAATCACACGTGGGACACAGCTAAACTGTAAACAGTTTGAGTGAAGAGTTTTTAATTTAAATAGAGATATTTTAGAGTGTCCTACCTTTCGTGTAAATTATAGACAAATCGTAGTATGTATTCAGGTGAGAATATTTAACAAAATTTAATTTGACACGTGACATATGAAAACGTCGTATAAGGGATTGTAGGCAACGAATTTAGTACAATATCTCGGACAGAAATTATAGGTACATCATTATGTGTCTCCTCGTTCTTGCGAGTTTATCTTAAAAGATAGAGTTTCTTGAACTGTCTTGGCACGCAACGGACGCCCTCCAATATGAATACATCCCCCTTTTTTCCACGTTGTCCACTGATCTTCGTTCAAACGTTCTTCGATAAATGGTCCTACACAAGAAATGTTCAGATAGGTAGTTCCTGAGATTAGCGCGTTCAAATAAACTCTTTATACTAATATTGCATTTTCTCAATTGTACTATTGATGTTTCTGCGCATCTCCAGTTACAGATGCGAAGAGGCCGCGAGCCACGTGTGTGTGCGTGAGTGACGTTGTGTCGGTGTATACCCACACAAGTAAACGTGCTTGTAAACACGATCGGTGATGCAAACGGCTATTTTCTTCGCCGCTCAATACCGCAACCTGTCTCTAGTTAAGATTTTTTTACTCGGACACTAAATAAAACTCGACGGGAGGATCTAATTCTGGCGGGACACCGCGTCGTTTTAATGGCGAAAATATTACTTGTTACCGCCATTACTAATTATAACACCGACTATACAATTAACAAAGACGATATTGGATTTGATTTAAATTGAAAATGCTCTTACCCTTTACATCTGTAAGTAGCGCCACCTATCGGCTTTTAAAAGACTTAAAACGGAACTCAAATTTAATTCTAAACTTTTTCATCTATGGTCCGTGACTCAGACGGCATTTTGATATTACCTATATTCAATGCTTCCAGACATTAAGTCCATATCAAAAATGAACGTGATTTTCAAACCTGATAGGAATCGAACCAACGACCCGTTGGTCTTAAGCTTTAACTACAAGCTCATTTCAGATGTGTCACGTGAGGTAGGGGACACGGGAAATCACCCTTCTAGAAGGCCATAACGTATCTATAATTAGTGTTGCCCAAACGCAAGAACAAGACGAGACTTAGCCAGTCTTGGTCTTGGTCTTGCGCCAATACACCTGGTCTTGGTCTTGGTCTTGGTCTTGCGCTCCCAGTCTTGGTCTTGGTCTTGGTCTTGCAGCAAGAGTCTTGCAAGTCTTGCAATTACCTATTAGTCTATTACTATTTATTAAAGTTTACTTTAAATCCTAGAAAAACGTATTAGAATTGGAACATAGTGAGCTTGAATGAATATAGCCATAGTAAAGATCAAGCAGATTAATAAATAACTGAAGATTTGATAAGAAATTCGAAAAATCAACTGACCTATATGTCGTTTTCCATGGAAGTAACTGTTTCTTAATAAACATTTATGATTTATAAGCTTACATTTGCTAAAACATGTAAAAAAACAAATTAATTACAATAAGTTGACTGTATTTTAAAGAACAATACTTATCTGTCTAAAAAGAGATTGAACCCTCAACTTATAAGAAATTTAATAAAAGAGTTTTACGATTTATCATTTATTTGAATAAAAAATAAAATACAACACAAATCAACAGCTTTATCATTAGGTTATGATACTTTATATCAATTTTTTTGACCAAGAATTAATACAAAGTAACCATCTGGCTGACTCATCACTTAACCTATTTCTATGTTAACAATAATATAAAGCGTGTAAAAAACTTCGAAATTATTTTGCATGAGTATACCTACGCCCTATGGCGGCAATCAAATAGTGTCAAATGTTATGATTTCGGCGTGGCGGCAACGATTGTTTTAGATTTCAAAAGAAGCCGCCGGCGCGTGTATCATAACCATGTACTTCCGAAAAGCGGCAAATTTCTTTGAGAAGTAAGTACAAAACCTTTGATGCCGCATTATCAAAGTCCCGATGGTTAAAACATAACTATGCATGCACTCAATTTGGTTTTAATAATTTTTTTATTCGCTATGTTTATGGTATTAGTCGTAATGCGCATAGGTCCAGTTTTTCATATTCTTTGAAACAGTTTTTTGCGTCTCAGAATTCCTAAGCGTACCTACCTATACACCGAACTGTTACACCTAACTACTCAGTGAAATAGCACTATGTCCTAGCTGCAAGACGCAAGAGTCTTGCAGGCTATGTCTTGTTCTTGCTCAAGTCTTGCACGGTCAGTCTTGGTCTTGGTCTTGCTAAAAATACGCGGTCTTGTTCTTGGTCTTGGTCTTGCAAAAACGCAAGAACAAGACCAAGACTGCAAGACCAAGACTGAATTTGGGCAACACTATCTATAATCCATATTTTTATTATGCACTCTGTGGTACTTCCCTTTATTGATCGATTACCACTCCCTACCAGCTATGAAGGTATGCAATACTATAAGTGTCCATAAAGCACTCGTGGGTTTTGTTTGATTATTTCATTAAACAATAATATATACTTACATGTAATACAGATAATAAGATGTTATTCAATAAAAATCTTTAGTACTTCCCCTCTTTGTCGGAACCTTGGTGCATAAGACACATGTTTATTCCTTATCACCATAATTAGTTCAGACCAGATTAATATAGACAATTAAACAATAACCAATCTAACGATAATTTTTTTTCAAGCATATACTTAAGTTTTGACTGTAGTTTACGCGAATAGTAAGTACACAAATAAAACACTCCCCCCGTGACGTCCGAAAGAGTCCGAAAGGTCGCGCCGTTGTTAAAATAATTTAAAATGAATTTAACGAATATATTTCGCGTTTTAAACCGGTAAAACTGTTTTAAGGCATAAAGTTCTTACATAGTAAGGTACTCTTTTGTGACATCATTATTTTTTTTTGTACAAGTTAAAATAAAAGGATTTTTAGCAAATAGTAACGATAGGACTAAGTTTCGGCCCGACGTTTCGGATGCTTTGCAGCAGCCGTGGTCACGGGGAGACTACCACGGCTGCTGCAAAGTATCCGAAACGTCGGGCCAAAGTTAAAAATAATTTTCAAATAAGTTTAACTAATATATCGCGTTTTAAACCGTTAAAGTGTTTTATTTAAATGTGTACTACTCGCGTAAACTATAGACAGTATTTGATTATATATTGTCAAAAAAAGTGATAATTTTTGCAAATAGTAAAAATGTGTCCCTCGTGGGACATGCGGTGAACGCATATCTGTGCCCGTTTCTATGATGGATTTTGTTTACAGACGAGTTGATCGGACTGCTTAGCCCTGATCTAAACATTTTTTTTTCTCCGGGTTTCAACCTCTCGTAATTAACGCCACGCCAGGCAGCACGTCTAATCATTGAGTTACGGAGATCCCAAGTCTCCATTGTGAGATTTGTAGTAACGATAGACCTTTAATAAAATTTTATAACACCTTACGTATATACCATGAAATTTAATGTAAGCAAAAGCAATTAATATATTTAATGACAGTATTAATGACGGGGCACTAATAAAATGTTTATACACTGAGTAAATCTAACTTTTAAACACAATAGTATTGTTCTTAATTATCGCCTTCGGGCCGGTCCGTCTGTCCGATCGTCCGACGGCGAGGGAAGAAATGACATTACTCAAATCTAACTAAGCGTCTGTAATTATATTATCAAAGCCATCACCGGGACCTAATTCTGGTAATTCACGAAACAGTGAAATGCTAGAGGTCATTGACCTGCATATGAGGAGACTATACGTCATAGTCTAAATGGAGGATAGGTGCTCGAGCTACTTAAAACCAGACTTCGCAAGTGGACGTATTGGAGAATAAACTTTCAACCTTCCTGTCTTATTGTTAAAGGAAGACAGACGAGCATCTTAACAAGAAGTCTTGTCGACTTGTTTTGGCTTCTTCATCTATGCACGTTGATTCGTGGCTCGGACGGAATTTCAATATTAATAATACCCATTAAATATTGAAATTCCGTCTTTCAGAAAAAATTTAAACTGATTAGAACAATGTACCTCGTAAGCTCGTCAAAATATACCGACCGCGTTTCGAATCGTCCTTTGTATAAACTATATGATCACAGAATTCACAATAAAACACTCCATCCTATTTATTATCTCAAATCTCAAATCTATTATTTCAAAAACACCACAGATTAGTAAATTAAAAAAAATACCAAAACGCCGATACCGCTGCAGAAGCATGACAATCTTTTTTGGCAGCTAATATGCATATCAACGCACATTTAAAAGTGTAATATTTAAGAATGAGATAAATATCGTCTGGTAGACATAATTAAGGCGAGGTAAACGCCCTCTTTCCATAGAAATTAAATGGATAATATTATACAGGCATTCAGTGAATTAGCAGATAATATTATGTTTCGTATTTTTTTTAATTCTACTTCGTGTCCGTTTCACTGACCGGTTCTTTAAACGGCAAGCAGTTCTGTGTCCTGCCCGATCGAAATAATTCATTTCCCCCAAATTGTTTCTCCTGGGATTTGAATCTAGGAACTATCGCGTTTAACCATTTGGCTACCAAGGCGGTCAAATGTTTATTTATCGTTTAATCAATAGATACGTTATGGTTTGTTTTATTTTATATTACGCCATCTAGAATCAGTATAAACCTAATCGTATTTGGAAAGTACCAACTCGTTCACGATTCTTTATTAGTATAAGTTAAGTTCTCCAAAATAGGCAATTCTTTATATTACACATTGGCCCCAACAATTCTAAAACTAACTTAAATATAAAAAAATATCCATAACAATACTGTTTTTTACTTCTGACTTCTACTACGCACTCTCTAAAATACGAACAGAAAGCGTACATTCAAAAATAACGTATGCTTGAATGGTTACTTAGTTTCTGAATGTATAAAATGAAATTTTATACGTTATACAAAATTCTATAAAACAAATGTATTATCGGAGTTCTGCTCTCTAGACATCAAAGGCAGTGTGAAAACATGACTACATTCTACAATTTATTTCTTCTTATTCCGCGTTTTGCATGTTTCAGATCCCGATTGGGCATCGTACAACCTCGGCATATTCATATGCATGCGATGTGCAAGCATACACCGTGGCATGGGTGCGCATATAAGCAAAGTGAAGCATTTGGAACTTGACAGGTGGGAGGATTCCCAAGTACAGCGTATGAAGGAAGTGGGGAACACAGCCGCGAAACATAAGTATGAGGAGAGGGTACCGCCATGTTACAGACGACCTACAAAGAATGATCCACAGTAAGTACTATAATGGAAATCAAAATCATTTGTTCATGTATGTAACTAAGTACACCCATAAAGATTAAAACAGTTAAATATAGAAACTCTAAATTTACAATAAATTCCCGTTCCTAAATTAAGGGCGTTAAACGATCGAGAAGAACTGGCAAGAAACTCGCCGCCACTCCTTTTATACGCAATTGTGTGTGTGTTTTATAACATTATGTAGAAAATAGAAAATATAGGCCTTCAATTAATGCCTAACTCCCTCTCGCAGTACAATTTTCCACTAGCTTTTCTGAAGGTTCCCAAGGTACGGTTTTCTTAGACAGTAGCACAAAAATACAGTACCTACATGTTATGACTAATTCTTAAAACTTCTTTGTGACATTTCAAGATTCCTTACCTTCAGCAATCATCCTATGCTTGGTATAATTATTTCCAATTTGCAAAGAAAATTATTTATCAAACTATACGGGAAATCTATAGCTAAAATCCCCAGTGTCAAAAAACTATACTGTTGCTATAGGCGTGATAGAGGCTGATAGACATCGAATCTCTGGGGGAAAGTACTTATCTAAATTAAGCAGTTACTGTTTAGTACGTGCAAATGTTGTAAATATATCCATCAAGGAATTCCTATAGAAAACCAAGTTTAAAGTTTTTTTCAGTAAATCTACCTAGTCAACATTAATCTATCAATATTATATTACTTTTCAGAGTTCTCATAGAACAGTGGATTCGCGCCAAATATGAACGCGAAGAATTTTGCCACCCAGAACGACAGAGCTACCTCTCCGGTTCCATGGAAGGTTTTCTGATGAAGCGCGGGAAAGAAGACAGCAGATACCAGCTCAGGAAGTTCGTTCTTAATGAAAACGAGGACACGTTGAAGTGAGTTTGATGTCTTAGTCTTAGTCTTCTACAAATGCTATTTTAGGTCATTTCGCGCCTTGGTTGCTTTGTCGCGCAAATTCATTTCTTAAGCATGCTCATTCATAAGTATCGATGGAAAAGTTACGAAACTTCCGACTGGATATTACTGAATCAAATTTAATGTTTTCGTTAAATATGTCATTTATCATCACAGCGTTGCCAAAAGTTTCGCAAAACAAATGGGGAGTAACTGAAAAAAAAATGTTTTTAAAACAAATAGGTCTGTAAAATAATATCAAAGAATTTAAAATATCCTAATTTTGTTACAACATCTCTACATACGTATTTAAACCTATTATATATACCTATATACCTAATTTTTTTTTACCCGCTTTTGACGAAAGTATATTATTTTACTTAAAGAGCCCCAACATCCTTACAGATAATCTAGCAACGCTGTTACAGCTTATCAATTGAAAAATCAGTCTATAATTTTGACAGCTCCGTTTAATAGATACTGACAGACATACACGAATGCTAGGTTTTTCGGCGGGAACTAAAAACATACGCATGCCTCATTAAAGTATCATATTACATTAACCCGTGGAAAACTCGTAATTCATAAACGATTAGGTTTTCATTGAAAAACATGACGTATTGTTTTTCCGATAAGAACCTTCGTTAAAGTAAATACCGTTCCAGCGAATGATGAAATATTCAACCGACACAGTCGTAGATACAATATCGTTGTTATTTTATCTGTAACCAGCCAATGTCAACAAACAGTATTGTTTACCGAATCGGCCCGAACGATAAGAGAGATTAAGATATGCATTCGCGGTGCTTAATTTCAGTTACAAAGTCAAAATACGCTATTTAGAAGGGCCCGGGGCCCAATTCTGCTAGTTCACGAGACAAATCGTGACGTCACCACGTGGAAATGTAAAACCTTCCACGCCCCTCGGCGATAGGACGTCAAAATTATCGCGGTTTCGCGAACAAATATTTACTTTTCACGTAGACTATCGTCATCGCATATTTCGCAGCTTGTGTGACATTGGAGTATGCCGTACGTGATACCTGTGTAGTACCGCAAATATTGGCGGACGACTGAAAACAAACAATGCCGTACTTTATTGTATACAAACAAAAATACTATAGAATAGTTATGTCTATAACAGAGAATTGCTAGAAGGCTCGTTACTAATTTAATCTAGACATTCCCAATGCCAAAATAGCACATCATTTTTGATTTTGTGATGAAGTGTCTGTCTGTCTTGATATGTCGTTAAAAAACTTGATGTTATTAATTCATTTAAAAGTCAGAATTTAGAATTTATCATGCTGTCCTTCGATTATTGTTTCTTACTATAACAACATAAATAAAAATTACTAATTTAAACTTTCTTTGATATCTAATGTCTTTCCACAATTGGAATATAATCTGCAAAAAAAAAAAGATTCAGTTCAAAATATTGTCTATAATCTGTGATCGCAATATTTGTATCGACAATTAGGAAAAACACAGATAATTATCAGCCGCAGAGCCACGTGACGTCACACGTAACGTGAAACGCGATGACGCATTCGGATCGTTACTTTATCTTTACGATCATGGGAATAGTTGGAATTCTTGCGGCTCAATGTTCCTAGAAGAAACCTAATGACGTCACCGCCTACGCAGCGCATAAAATCGAAAATCGATCGTCGAAGAAATCGCTCATTTCTAAAAATACCACAATTTAATTAATCGACGCGTGAGTTATGACAAGATACAAATAGGTATAGGTAGGCGAGAGGTGCATGTATCTATAGGTTGAAAAAAATCGACAAAGACGTGTAGGACTCGGTAGCTCAACTGCTTAGAGCAACAGCACGAAACGCTATACATGCCGGTTCAAGTCCTGACTGAGTCGTAAATTTTTGAATTTATAAATTGATTTTTAATATCACAAGATGCAAATTATAATATATTTGTCTAAATAAAGAGGTAAATTTGACTGTCTTGAGTATTGCTTCTTGGTCTAATGATAGCAATGTATAGCTAATAATCAGGTTCCTTATCAAATTATAATTTTTCGGTTAGGTACTACGTCTGAAAAATCCAGGTATCGAATCGAGCTGGTGGGAATATCGAAATTTTCTAACCACTGTAAAAAAGAAGGGTAGTGTTATCGCGTTCCGGCCTCAGTCCGTAGATTTCCGCATGTCCAACGCCAAAATAGGCTGAGAGGGTATCTCGTTTAGACCAATCTGTAAATAATACGTTACGTTACCACTTCGTGGAGCACCCAAAATAATTATAAAGGACCGGCCCCGTTACATTAAATTAAAAAAAAAGTGAAAATAACCGGCGTAATTAAATTGTCCGTCTAAATCGATCGTTAACAAGCGAATGAAATATTAATTATTGTTTAACCTCAAAGTTTTATTTAATGAACTACATTTATCAGTCCGATATAAAGCTATAAATAATTCCATCCGGATCTTGAATGGATAGAAAGATACGCCGCAATGAGTCAATAACACCCGTAAAAAAACAGTTTAACGGTTTAAAACGCGATATATTTATTATAGATTAGTCAATAATAATTTTTAAATACGTGACTCATTTATATCCCGTTTTAAACCGTTAAAGTGTTATATTTAAATTTGTACTACTCGCGTAAACTACAGACAGTATTTAAGGCCTGTTTTAATATTTGCATATTAAACATATACCTATGTAGAATTATATTTTTATTTATTTGTAGGCTTATCGAGTTTATCGCAAGTCATCATGATATATTTTCTTTAATTAAACTACTTATTTACAAAAAACGAAAATAAATTGAAAAAATTATCGACTCGGGCAGGCCTTGAACCGGCATCGTCAGCGTTCCCTGCTGTTGCTCTACCAATTTTCGCTATTGAGCTACCGAGTCCTACACCTCATTGTCGAATTTTTTCGAACTTATTGATACATGCACCTCTCGCTTATTTATTAATGAAATTAGTAATCTATATACTAATATATAAAGCTGAAGAGTTTGTTTGTTAGTTTGAACGCGCTAATCTCAGGAACTACTGAATCGAATTGAAAAATTATTTTTGTGTTAGTTAGTTTATAGGCTATAAAACATTGCGCTGTGACTTAAAAGGGCGAAAAAGCAGCGGCAAATGTAAAGGAAACGAGAGAAAATTTTAATATCTGTGGGCTTTCGATGCGTACGCTGCGAAAACGGTTCAAGATACCGAAAAAATATGTATGAAAGAATAATTACTCAGTCTCCCCGTAACCACGGCTGCTGCAAAGCATCCGAAACGTCGGGCCGAAGTTAAAAATCATTTTCAAATAAGTTTAACTAATATAACGCGTTTTGAACCGTTAAAGTTAGTTAACTGTTCCAAAATTAAGAGACTACTCAAACACGCTCATGCGAATGATCTATGTAGGTTCCTATAGGTTGAACATACAAATGCGTCAATAAAATACAACGAAATAATTTTATCCTTTACCTTAAATATTAGAACTCTATTTTATAACTTATGCTTCTTATTTGACTCGATTATAATAGTAATTAATAAAACTAAATCCTGTACGTATTTAAGGTCCATAACTAAAGTAGATCAACATTTTTTACTTACAGCTTTACAGTTACTTCTTCAAGGCTCCAACGAAACCTTATTTGTAAAATTTTAAGCTAAACGATTGTTATTATTAATTGGAGACTTGCAAATAGACCAGAATGATCAAACAAACTACATAGGCCCCGATAAATGCAAAATAGGACGACCGCGCATCTTGTTTAGAGATGCTACAGGGGTATATCACCTTCCATTAGGTGACCTCCTTACTTGTCTGTCAAAAAAAGCAATGATAATCTAAAAATAGCTATAGCCAAATCAATTAGCCGTAAACTTGCTCAAACCGGTTTGAGCGAACCGGTTTTACGTGAACCGGTTTTACGTGACCCGGTTTTACGTGAACCGTTAAAAGTAATTCGGAATGGTCCTTAGGTATCAGCACCCGTCGGACACTTGCGGTGCATCGGGTTGTCTCGGACGTATTTACGATCGGCTTCGTCTCAAAAACTATCGTTTGAGGTAAGGAGAGTACGACGTTACCTTACACTTAATTAATGGCAGGGGTGATTTTCATGCGCACCACGCTCTCATGCATTGCATGCTCTCATGGCATGTTTACGAGTTTATTTAAGCTGTCTAAATAATGCCTATTTAGAATTGATCTTTTAGGACAGGTAAGCCTTGTTTGGTTATTTTGGTATATACGATGTATGTTTATTAATTATGTAAAACTTGATCATTTCGGACAAATCCAATAATAAGTAATTTCCAATCATCGATCATTTATTAGTTATCGATGTTTCCAATACATTTTATTAAAACACTTTAACGGTTTAAAACGCGATATTAGTGAAACTTATTTTAACTTATTTTCCTTTCGCATCAGAAACACCCTCCATCTTTAGTCTCCCCTTGAACACGGCTGCTGCAAAGCATCCAAAACGTCGCGCCGAAGGTAAAATAATTCTTGAATAAGTTTAAGTAATATATCTCGTTAATATATATCGTGTTTTAAACCGTTAGTGTTTTATTAAAAGTGTACCTACTTCTCGCGTAAGCTACAGAGAGTATTTAGTTTCCAATACAGCAGAGATAGGCTTGTTTAAAAAGAAATATGTTAAATTTTTTACCATCTCTTACTTATTGTTTTAAATAGACTAGATATTTTGGAAGGAAAATAACAGACGTGGCTATATGGAATACACTGATTTATAGATATTAAATCTCTTGCGATCGTTAGACTATTCACAATCATTAAAATAAATAAGCAATACTTAACAAGATTATTACGTGATTAGGCAATAAATTAATTAACTTCCAAGGTTTCAAAGTTGAATAGAAACGGCAACAAACAAATTTACGACTTAGTAATAACTGTACAACGACTTTTATTAGCGGCTAGGAAAGTTTATAAGCATTTAAATGCTTAAATACTATATATACTTATAAAATACTATAGCTGTATTATAAAAAAATATTTTTTTAGGTACCACGTGAAAGAACACAAGGAGCCAAAAGGTATTCTGAAACTGTCAGAACTGAACGTGTCTTTCGCGCCAGCCAAGATCGGGCACATGAATTCAATGCAGCTTACTTTTATCAAGGATGGGTCTACACGTCATATATTCGTCTACCACGAAGACCCTGAAGTTATCAATTGCTGGTTCGTATAAAAAAAAAACAGTCAAAGTTAATTCATACAACTCCTGACGCAGCTGAATACTACACGAAGGAAATCGCACAGCGCTGATTTTCAGCCTGTTGTCTCTGGCCGAAGTTCCGGATTTAACTACCTAAAGTAACGAGAAATGAATCCGCCATCTGTTATCCGCGATACGTTTTTTACCTGGTTAAAGTTTGTTTTAATATAAAAACATCATAATTTCCCCTTTTCAGGTATACAGCAATCCGCTGTGCGAAGCTCCATCTCTTGCAAGTAGCGTTCCCATCTACACCACAATCGGACCTACTCCTGCGACTTCCAAAAGACTTCGCTAGGGAGGGTTGGCTTTGGAAGACGGGACCCAGAGCGTCCGACGTGCACAGGCGACGATGGTTCACATTGGATAATAGGAAACTCATGTATCATGATGAACCACTAGATGCATATCCGAAGGGAGAGATTTTTATTGGTAAGAAGACAATTTTTTATGGCTATATTATCGTGGCTTATATATGTGGACGGTGGTTCGAAGTCCATCAATCAATATCCAGTTTTAATCCAGAAGCCCAAGACATGTTTAAGAGAGATTTTAAATCATATGTTGGATCTAATGGGTATCAAACCCAAAGCCAGTTGATTATCAGATGCATTGCTATAATAAGACCAGCCACCTGGTCATGAAAAAAGATAACATGTTAGCTTAAATATATACTAAAAAAAAATTCTGTCTGTTGAGTCGATATTAATTTGAGTATTTCCTATATTCAGGCCACGAATCTACTGGTTACCACATAAAGGTATCCAACACAGGCAACGGTTGCAAAGAGGCGCGGTTTCCCTTCCACCTGGTGACACCAGAACGGACTTTCTGCTTGGCAGCTGCGACACACGAGGACCGAGCTGGTTGGCTATCGGTCATACAGCAGACTCTTAAAAGACCACTTACACCACAGGACTCTACAAGTAAGTATAAATATGCTAGCTCTATAGTCTGGGCTTACTGTTAATTTTGCAACTGTGGTAATTATTTAGTGGGGTGTCGTGTTTAGATTGTTGGATTAAGGGATTTCTCAGTTTTTTATTTTATTTTATGTGTTGCAATATTTTAATTTATAATTAATCTAACTAACTAACCTGAAAAATCTTCTCATCTATTTTAAGTGGATTAAAAATCAAGGATATTTATTGCTTGAACAATAACTGACTTTAGTACTCTACTAGATTCGTAATTGTATTGCGCGTGAGTCGCACGTGATAACGTATTTTACTAAATAACAAATTACTTTCAACACCCTAATACAAGTATTTATGTCTAACTAACTTAGTCTCTACGTCTAATTACTAAGTATAACACTGTAAAAAGGTCTTACACTCTATATTTACGTATACATCCATTTAATACAATTATACAACCTCTATCGTCATTACTAGTTGCCTATGTAGCGCGACAATGATCGATTGTTTCAACGTCAACCCAGTAAACACCACTGAACCAGATGACACGGCAAGTGCGTCAACAGTGACGGTAGAACGATAATTCCATTCACAGCCTAGAACAACATTATGTTGCGAAGATAATGGATTGTGACGTCAGAAGCTTGACATGCCTCATTGTAATACAAATATCGTAATAGTTTATGAATGCATAATCGTTGTTTAACGAAACATATAAGACGACAATTGTCGTTTCAACGTCTCGTCCTGCTAGTGGCTACATGTCTGTTAATGTGGTACCCGCACCACATTTTTTAAACTATCTCTTCCTAATCGTAAGTCCGTTCGTTGTTTTTAAAGTTCAACCGTAGAGCAAAGGTCTTCTTTCTAATCTTTTTTAATCAAGGATTATATGAACCATTCCGATTTACGGGCTAGTATTAGATATTTTAGTGTGAAATCACTGCCAACGATTGGTTTCTTTACATGTAATAGTTTCCCTGGGTTCGAACCAAGGTCCTCTGTCACTGTACACAGGTGGTTAAATATTATTTTACTTGGTCCAGGCTTCAAAACCCAGATCTAACGAGTTCTATATAAAATATAATAAAAATAAAAAAGCTTTTTATTACCAAACATATTTTTCATATTTTACGTTGCGTTAACAGATTATTCATATTTGTCAAATGTTGTTTATGTTAGGTCCGCATTTTGCGGTAAAAGCCTCCTCCATACGCTTCCACTCCGTTCTGTTTGTAGCGCTTCGTTCCCAGAACATGCCTGCAGTTTCCTTAAATTCGTCGTACCACCTCCTGAATGGTCTACCTTGTTTCCTTTTTACGTCTAATGGAAACCATCTTGTGATAGCCTCGGACCACCGGTTGTCCTTTACTCGTAACAGATGCCCAGTCCATTATGGAAGTCTTTGGCCATTGTCGCCTTTCTTATTATGTTGTGTTGTGTTTTGTGTGTGTGTTCTTGTTCGGTCTTTTAGTTTGACTCCCATAAAGCTGCATTCAATTTCCCGTTGACAAGTCCTGAGTTTGAGTAAGTTTCTTTTTGTCGTGGTCCAAGTTTGACAAGCATAGGAAAGACAAGGCATCAGCGACACTTCCATTGCTTTTGCTTTAATTAGGGATGGAGGGCAATTTACTTTTAAATATTTCCTTTAAAGTCCAGTATTTTCTCCAAGTTAGTTTTATTCATCGATCAATTTCTTTCTTTGTGCAGTTTTTGAATGAATTATATATAAGCCTCTGGAAACACCAGAGAAACTGTATTCCCACAAAAACCATGTTTTATTAATGGTCTAATAGGAATATAATACTAATAACTAAAATTCTTTTTTTCAGTTGAAGCAACACTCGTCAGAAAACGAACAACGTCAAACTCCATCAGCATATTCTCGGGAAGGTAGTTACAGAAACTGCTATGTTCAAGTAATTTAAGCAATACTTAGTGGTTGTACAATTAGAGCTGGAATAATCTTCGAAAGCAATACGATCCTATCGTTTCATTTATGTGAACAGCAAACTATTAGGAATAAACATTTATTTGTCAAATTAAATGTTTAATAGGGACACCTTGAACGATATAAAAATAATTAGTTTATTCTGGCATCTATGATATTGTAAATATTTTTAGTTCAGTATCGATGAATTTATCATGATAATATTAATTTATAATGAAATAATGCTGTAAATTATTTTTATGTATAATTTAATTTTATGAAGGACTGAATCTACTGTAGCGATTTTAAGTGTGTGTAAGTTCGTTTAAGAATTACTTTATACAGGTATAAATATATTTTGGTTAATTTAAATTGTACCTACATCTATTTTATGCACTAATGTGTTTTGTCTATTCGTTTCAAACGCGTAATATATTACATATTTACAATTTATTTTACTACGACCCAACGCTTCGGATGCTTTGCGCGGTCACGGGAGGACAGATGATGACCGTGTCACTAATGTCAAAGTCAAAACTGTTACGCTAGCGCCATCTGTTTCGTCGAGTCGTAGCTAAAGCTGACTTGGACCTTACAGAACGTAACCGCTAGCGTTTATAATGTGTTATATGATAAGTTAACAAATACATTTCGCGTTTTAAACCGTAACAGACAATACTTGACTTATGTGAATGCAACATCAGTAAATAGTCATCTATAAATTATGTCAATGGAAAATCTAGAGATATTTTACCTACTTTATTGTACCTACTCTGTTTTACCGGCAAATTGGTAATATATGAGGAAAAAATCGAAATTTACAAAATTTTCTTATCAATTTTCCTATCAACTATGACATAAAAACTATTACAACATGCCAGAACATGCTGATGTTGGGTATTGTATAGTATTGATTATAATGAAAAATGACGCACAAAATATCAATCGGCAAAACAGGTTTTAAATGAATTGCACCATTTTGTCAATATTGAATAAAAATCATCAAATTAAAAAATAACTTTCTTCGACTGTAGTAAATTATCAATTTTTATTTAAGGTGGGACTGTTTCCTGAATACACCAATGACAAGCTAACGGGACATACAAAACGTACGAATTTTTCTTTTATTTTTATTACAATACAAATCAGCTCTCTTCGATATCTACTAACTTTACAGGGAATCACAAACGCAAATGTCAGGCTTTTATATCCAAATCGTCATATTGATTAGGTAATTTTAAAAATCAAGACTTTTTTTATTGTTATTGAGAAAAGAGACATCTAGCGGAATTGTTGCAACAACAAGCTGACTAAAAAGTTTAAAACTTTTAGTCTTCTCACAAAAATACTTTTAATTTGGAAGAAACGACTAATGTAATCGTGGTATATACTTCTATATATATGCATATCGTAAGCCAATCTTATAAATAACATTTCAAATGATAATTTCTGCAAATATTTTCTTACAGTCAAAAGTACCGAGAGGGAAAAGTGAATCTTACTGTTTGTGGATTTTTATCGCTACACTATTTTAAGCAATATTATATAAGGTGACTTAAAATATAAGTAATGTAAGTGAATCGAATGTATTCTCTGTCACAATGTAGTGCTATTATTTATTGAGTGTATTGAACTCGGAGTGTATGTGGCTTTTTTAAATCTATGTATTTCCACCTTCAATTGGATAAAGATCAGTAACCGATAATTGTATTGTGGTCGAATAAAAATGTTGTAATCTGATTGGACAACAAGCTTATGTCCAACAGCACGTCCGATCAGAAACTGGAGTTTTTTTTACGCTGCGCATACGCATTATTGGTTTGAAAAGAAGCTATTATATAAACTTAAATAATCCCTGAGTATGTATTGAGATACATCCATACGTGTATTAAGATATTTATTTTTCATATTTATAATGCTGAAAGCGTGTGTATGTGAAACGATTGACATCTAGATGTATTTTAGCACTATTAAAAGCTAGAAGACTGCCAAAAACTTGGTAGAAATAATCTAATTTATATTTTTATGTGAGTATACAATCGGATTTGACGATACAGGTTGATTTTGGTGGTGTGAATGAAATTCAGCTATCGCGAATGCTTCGGTTTGGGCAGTAAAACGTAGATATAATGCTTATAATTAATTGTAGCGTGTCATAATGTATTCACGTATTTAAGCACAATATCAATAATAATAATACTTTATTGAATATACGTGGAAAGTAAGTCTTATTCTTATTAACCGAGCTATTCGAGTGTCGTGATCGAGAAATGGACGGCGATACGTCGAGAATCATTACTCAATCGACGACCAGATGGCGGCACTGTTTCAAAATGGCCGCTCTTCACAATATATTGTTCTTGATTGAGAAAAGGCGCTTTTATACAGTTTTAATGTTAACATTATGAACGATGAGATTTTTGTTTTGTTTTGCAGAGTTAAACTTGGCATCTGTACGCAGCTACTTTAAAATTGTAAATTTTATCTCGATTTAACAAAAAAATTCAACATTTCTTATTGGATATCTCAAAATCATTATACTTATCTAGGTACATATATCTAAGTACTTTAGAATTGTAAATCGGTAGATTTTATATCGGTAGTTCAATTGTAGGCAAGCCAAGGAGTAGCCATTCTATGTAATTTAATGCTGTCTAACAATTTTGTGGATTGTTTGCTACAATAATCTGTGTTATGATTACAAAGCAATAAATAAATTATTTTTTAGAATATGTATTCTTAATATAATTTTATGAAATGACAGCTATATATTATGTAATTAAGTATACAGGACGCCATTGTATGAGTACTAGTGAGTTGAGCGTGTAAGCACAGTATGACAATGAACAGTAGGGACAATTTAAATACTTACGCCGCGTGTTGGATACGACATGCTGTGTATTTAGAAGCCCACCGATTAATTGACGAATGTAAAAAATAGTAGTGTCATGCGGTTATAACTTATATGTTATACAAACAAAATATAAAGCGTTAAATATGTTTAAGTCATAATTCAAAACCAAAACCAGTTAGATTTATTTATTTGTTGCGTTTTTGGGTCCTTACTGTTCTTAGTAAACTGTGGTGTACGCTCAAATAAGCTTAATGTTAGTAAAATAAAATAATATCATCACTTTAGTTAATTTTAGTGTAATTATTTAATGAAATTTACCAAAATGTTGCCTCGCTTACGTTACAATCATGATTTCTTATAAGTGAATAGTTTTAAGCTCATTTGTGTGCTCTGGCATAATATTATTATGTTTAAATATATGTATTTATATCTACTGGATATAACTTTCACTGGAATATTCGTTTTTTTTCATTCTTGCTCTTTATGAAATTATACTTTTAAAAGCATTCGTGTTTAGCTTTCTTCTTGCTTTTTGCTTAGATGTAATAATATCTAAAGACAATGTGCTCTTTATTTTTAGGGTTTGCATATTCAGATTTTCATATAACAAATTTTAAAGTTTGTGCACGAAAATTCAGTAAAGCTCGCTGGAAATGTAAAGAAAATTATATTGTGCGTGTAATAATTGTATATGCTATAAGTTCTTCCATTTTTGCGCAAAAACAAATTTTGATGCCAAAAATAATGCATTGTGCGTTAGTTTTGTATCATCATAATAAAAAAATCATAATGCAAAGATAAATATGACGCCCAAAATAAGTTTTCCACGCAGACGAAGTCGAGGGTGCCTGTGAATAATAAAAGATTTTGGATAGATCGAAGATTATATTCAAAGTCAAAATGAAAATCGAAGATTATATTCAAAGTCAAAATGAAGATCGAAGATTATATTCAAAGTCAAAGGCTGGGCTATATCATGAGAAAAGGATTTAAGTTATGCCCGATTAAAGGAAGTTTTAAATAGGGGGGTTTTTTTTAATAGAACATGATGTTCTTTATATTTTGAAGCAATATTTGTTCTACTTATTAAATTTAACAACCAAGTTCTAAAACCCAAGAAATTTGTTAAGTAGTTCCGACGTGTGATATTTTTTGCGGACTATTTCGGTTTGTTTTGTCAGATTTCCGCGCGGGAAACTATCGGGTTACATTGATGGCACTTTCATTTGAAGATCTCGCTAACGTTTGGACACCTTTGACTTCAATATCAGATAACACTGTCTTAACTAACGAGTCATTTCAGAAGTTACTTCAGTTCAGGATTAAATAACTTCTGAATTACTAGTTTTTTTTATGATAGGGGAGGACAGATAACTATGGGTTTCCCTTGATGATAGGTGAAGTACACCAGCCAAAGCAACTAAACAAAATGCGCTGTCGACCTATTTTGGCTTTGGATATTCGGAAATCGACAGACTGAAACTGAAACGTGATTAAAGTTCAGGACTTTTTCATTTGTGAACAGTGGTATGTGACCCGGACGGAATGTCGATTCCAGATTTCCAGACTAAGTCCAACATGGTCCAGAAAAATTAAAAAACCACCAACGAGTCCGTCAAGTTGATTATAAAAAAGGGCAAAAATAAAAAGTCGAATTACGAATTACTTCGTCACTTTATGCATTCTTATTACCTGAACTTAAATTTAATAGACAATATTATTAATGTTAATTCCAAAAATAGTATTTATTTAATTAATCGCCCCTTGAATATCTCATATTTTACAAATTGTCACTATACTTACAATCAAACTAATGCATATATACGAAGTACTTGTAAATAAAATTATTATTTCCGCAGTTTACGCTAGTAATACACGTCTAAATAAAACACTTTTGACGGTTTTAAATGCGGAACATAAAACAAGCTCCTTTCGCTACTGAAGCATTGAAACCTCGGCATGTAGTTAAAATAATTTGTACACAAGTTAACCGTTAAAGGTGTTTTATTTAAACAAAAAAATATTTAAAACAGTAATACATAAAAGCTCTTTTGAATTCAATTTTGAAATTATATTCTCAAATATACAACATTACACATTATGCAGAACATCTGAGGGATACGTGTTTCTACTTTCATAATAATTTTCTTTATACCCGTAATTGCAGTATTGGGCGTTCGAGTACGCTTGTTCCGCCATATCATCGTAGTTTCTCTCGTCGAAGTCGTTTTCAGAATAATCCTGTTGATAGTTCTCATCGCTTGGCATAGCTTCTCTTTGTGTCTGCACGTCGCGACTATCATTTTGTGAATTTATATTCCATCTTTGGGATATAGAGCAGCTCAGTGTGCCGCCATGTTGGAAAGTAAATGGCCACGCCTGAAAAATGTAAATCACGCTCTTTAATAAACCTGTAACAAATAGTAGTATTCTGTACTGAGTAACGAATCTCTCTCCATTCGATCGCAATAACAAGTAAAGAATCGTTACTCAAGAAACAATTTCGTCACTCGAATTTGGTCGTAGGGTTTGGATGCCGAGTCGTGGATTTGGTTCAAATCACGTAAGTACGATAATTAGTATCATAGTACAAGTGAGTATCGTTTATTGTTTCGTTTCGTTATCGAGTATTGCTTCCTAATTCTGCGAAAACGTACATTACTAAAATCAATACACGTTGAAATAAAGAAAATATTAAAACTGAACAATTGAGATTCAGTACCTAGGTCTTGAATAAAGGTCTAATTTAAAATACGCTACGTTTCCGTGTTTTGAAATTGATTTGAGTTGAAAATTCACTATACATTCATAGAGTAATTTTTCTTCCTTTATTAAAAGTAACGAGTAACGGGTCTCAAATGTAATAATAGTAACGAAAAAATATAGATACGATTGTTAGTGTTACCTTTACACCTCTACTTTTTAATTTATGAGTACAAGAAGAGTTTCCTACCTATTATATTAAATTTTCTGTTAGTTTTTGTTTTCGATAAAAGTCGATAAGAGTGATAAAATAAGAAATAACAGTCAGTTATGTTCCTTAATAGTTAAATAAATATACGTGCCTCTAGAGAATCTTTTTTAACACGAATTTCCAAAAATGGACCTCACACAGAGTTATTGGATATCATAAGTGTGAAATACAGTTTCACTTGACCCTTTTGTATCCAAACAAACAACATATGTCGACCTATTTTTTATTTTATTATACTCAACCAAAACCATAAACACACTTTTCAACTTATCGTCTCACTTTGATTTTTGACAGATTATAATTATGGAAATTTTGAGTGCTATTTTCCGGACAAATATATTCTGTGGTGGATCTATATCTATGGTAACATTTTCTAGTAATTTCATAATTATGTAAGCAATTTACTCTGGTTTTTTTAAACAAACCTACTTAAAAGTATTTCTAAGTAGAAAATTTATCACTTATGTTCATTACAACATATACCTAATAAAATTTTATATGACTTAATATTTATTGTTCCATAGTAATTAATAAAAAAATATTTATACTAATTGTCAGTTTCCAATAATAATTTACCAGACTATTATTCGCATTTCTATTTATTGATTTAAATAAAAACATCTTTTTTAGGAACCTGATATCAACCTCAGAGCTTGCACCCAGGGAAACAATAAAACTTAAGCATCTCTTTAACGTCCGGAGATAAATTTTATTTATACCAGTAACAGCTGCAAACTTTTGGTCAGCGCGCGCGCAAACGCATGTTTATTGTTCTTCACTTTTTGTTTCTATCTTTGTTCGATACCACTTTTTTAAATGTTTATTTATATTCCCGATGTATTGCCCTTAGGCCTTTTTATATATACGTCCTTCAAAATTTGAATTATCTAAAATAAATTTAAAATTTCACGTTTGCATGTACCTATTTTCTTTGTTTCTAAAGGTAGTAAACCTAGATCTAAATCAAGTTGCTCGTTACTTGTACTTGTACTACTTGTTTTAGCAACTTTTAGGTATTAAAAAAACACTTTAGCGGTTTAAAACGCTAATATATATTAGTAAACTTATTTGAAAATAATTTTTAACTTCGGCCCAACGTTTCGAATGCTTTGCAGCAGCCGGCCCGACCGAAACAATTTTATGTTTCCCTGGGATTCAAACCTCTCGCGCTAAGCAATACGTTTAACCATTTGGCTACAGAGGCAGATTAAATCAGCATCAGGCAATTTAAATCTATAAAGATTTCAATTATTCGAAACGTTTGCCCTAATATTTTAAAGGCAAAATAGTGTTCAAAAAAACTAATCCAAGCATTGATCAATTCGTGTCCCTTCGTGGAACGTGCCGGCTAATCTGCCGTTGACAGAATGTGGTCCCGACGACGTTTAGCAAATCCATTGATTGAGTGCCTCTGCATGATGTAGAAGACGTGGGGACAGATTATAAATTCTCAACAATTATACGATCAGCGCTCTATTACTTTAATGGTTCCCATGGATGAAAAATCGATTTTACAATGAAAATAAATTAGGATACACCAGCACAGAATGCGAGTTGTAGGCCTCCGAGCCTCCGAGCATCCGAAACGCCGAACCGAAGTTAAAAATCATTTTCAAATAAGTTTAACTAATATACCGCGTTTTAAACCGTTAAAGTGTTTTATTTAAATGTGTACTACTCGCGTAAACTATAGACAGTATCGTTGAAGTTTTTTACTTAAATACACATATATTTCATAAACTCTTCGTCTGTTTCACTAGATGTTGTCACAGACAAGTGTTTTGTGATTGCTGCCAAAATTATTATGATACCAGGGTTTTAAAGCTAGGACAAGTACTTTTAACAACTCAGCTTGATGAGGAGATGGTCAATAACTAATCTATAGTATTAGAGGAAAATATTATATTTATTTATTTATTTTCTTTATAAACATATTCTATCCATTACAGAACAATATCCATTGCGATAGAATTATTAAGTATATATTTCATGGACTGATGTTTTAGTCAATTTATATATATTTGTGCAACTATTATATATCTGTTCGTACTATTCGTTATTTATGAGAGTAGTACACATTAGAATAAAAACTTTTAACGGTTTATAACGTGAAATGTATTTAATTAAACTTATGTAAAATTTATTCCAACTGCAGCCTGACGTTTTGGATGCTTTGCAGCAGCCGTGATTACATGGCGACACCCCGAACAATTTAACTACTTAATAAATTACCCGTTTTAAACCGTTGGAAGTTTTTTACTTAAATGTTACATATGGACGTTCCTTCATAAGGAATTCCTCTATATATGCAATACTTACAAGACTCAAGGGGTGTGGTGGTGTATGTTGTGACCGTGGCTCGTGAAGCAAAGCACGGAGATGTGCTATGTATGACGCTGCAAGCCTCAAGGTATCTAACTTCGAGAGCTTAGTGTCCGCCGGAACCCAAGGTAGAGTTGTTTTCAGTCTGTAAATACCTCAAATCATAAAGCAACAGCAGTAAATACTGTCTGTAGCTTATACAAGTACTTATACATTTACATAAAACACTTTTAACGGCTTGGTACGCGAAATGTAAAATAATGGGCCTAATACGCACAAGAGCTCTTTAACGTTCGTTAATAAAGCGTTCAAATAGAACATATGCCTACCCAAGTACATGTATACACGTCGGCGCTTTTAAAACGCGACGCTTTTTTATCGAGCAACGTTGCATTTTCAACGCAGAGATGCATATGCTATGAAACTTTTATTATTATTCACACGCCAAAGCGTTATTTGAGGCCCTATTATTATCAATAAATCGTCAAATGTTGCTATACTCATTCCTCAAATAATCTTCGTACAGTGTCAAAAACTGTCATTTTAAGTATCTCCGCTTATTCAGAGGATATACGCAGAATTCCCTTTGTTTCTTTCTTCGTCTTCTAGCAACACAAACGCTAGTGCTAGTAATTTAGCAGAAACCATTTCCACGTCTTAGTAAAACGAGGGACTAGACGAAAGTGATTGAAAAGCGTTCGTATGAATGATCAGTATGAGGACGTTATCGCGCCGACGCCGGGTTATAACGCAACGCTGTTTAAACTCTCATGCAAATAAGGCCTAAGTTGAAACATTTTGGGTTTTAAACCCTTAATAGAGTTTTATTTAAACACAAAAAATCTAAAAGCTAAAACATTAAAAATGTGAATGTGGAAAACCATAACTAGTATACAAAGCATTTTTATTGGATGTTATATATTTAAAAATCTAAAAATCGAAAATAAATTGAAAAAAAATTCGACTCGGGCAGGACTTGAACCGGCATCGTCAGCGATCCGTGCTGTTGCTCTACCAATTGAGCTATCGAGTCCTACACCTCATGGTCGAATTTTTTCAATTTGTTTTCTATGTTTAAATTATATACTTAGTGCCTTCATGGGCACACATGTAAAAAATAATAAAGTTTTCAAATATTTCAAGATCTGCTAAATATCAAAATATATGCTTACCGACAAAAAGCTTTCGATAAAACCCTCATTCGGGCTCGCTCTCTCGCATTTGCTGCATTTCTGTGTTGCGGTTCGTGTCCACTTCTTCCTGTGTACAAAAAAAAACACAGAACGATAATACGAATGCAGTTTGTCTGAAAATTACGTCCGGATCTATGAACTGTCTACTGTCCACACATAAAAAAACCTTGAAGTTTTATAACATTTCGTTTTCAGTTTATTGGTTTCCGAATAGCCAAAATACAGTACATTATGTTGAGATATTTTAAAACTGGGTATTTCTCAACTTCGAACAAGAGGTTCTCTATCTAGGTAAAGGTAGATGAGGTCATCTTCAATCTTCATCTTGAGATATTACTTTAACTCTAGTTCAAATAGGATCTGTATTACTTCCAATAACTAATCATAAAAATATATTTACTTTAGCTCACACAAACCACTTCGTTAATTAAGTACTTACTTATTATTTGTAGTTTAAAAGTGGCAACAGTTTAGATGAGTAATGATAATTTTAATAAACAAAGTAGTTTGAATAAAACACTTTAAATTGTTTAAAACGCGAAATATAGTTCACTTTTTAAAATTTAATTTTAACACGACCGTTTACGACGTTTGGATTCTTTGACATTATTCATTGATAATTGTTGGCGTTTTTAACAGATGATAGTGTGTTTTCACTAATTTATTCCACTGAACACTCATCCTAAACCTATCTATCAGCTTATAAGTAAGTAAAATTCTTGTACCATGTTGAAACTCCAATTAAAAAAATAAATTATTATTATTTTAATTGGAGTATTCACAGTTATATATATATTTTTTATTTTGTATTATCTTTAAGACAAACGTACCCGAACTGGACTGAGTGTCATCGAATAAAAAGTCGTCATCATCTACATCGTCTTTCTTTTCAAACGAAGGCGATTTGTGAACACGTTTTCGTGGCATTTTTACACATAAACAATCTCACTACACTATAACACCATTATCACAGGACAAGATGTTCCGCTTCTTGAATACCAAGTGTAAGACAATGCGTCTACGCAGGGCGGGCGGCGAAACAGGCGGGGTTTAATTGAGCCCCGCCCGTGAGCTTTCAGGATCGTTTCTCGACAAATGAGGTTTAAACACGTTTTATTACCCTTTATTCTGTTTATTAATATATACCTGGGCATATGCATAGTAGGTTACTAAATAAGTATATTTATCTACACTAATACATATTATAAAGCTGAATAGTATGTTTGTTAGTTTAAACGCGCTTGTCTCAGGAACTACTGGTTCCAATTGTTTTTTTTTTTTAATTAATTTATCGTCGACTATAAACGTCAAGCTATGACCAATAGGAGCGGAGAAACAGAGGAAAATGTGGAAAAAACAGGGAAATGATTTATCATTGATTGATTGATCGGGTTTCCGTTGCGTGCGTTGTGAAAACGGTTCAAGGTAGTAAAAATATATGTATGCGAGGCTCAGTCATATTTAAATAACGTTTTTTATTACGTTAAAAAGACCTTTGCAAGGTTAGCTAGTCAGGGATTAGCAAAAGCAAAACACGATGTATTTTTTCTCTTTTCTTTCTGTATGATGTAAATAACGTAACAATTAAAATATATACGTGATTTGTACAAAGTATTCTTCAAATTATAGTAATATTTTTCTTCCATATTCTATATATATTATTTTTGTCATTATCATTTGCAATTCGTTCTTCTTCTTTGGGAAAAGTCTCACACCTAGCTTGTCATTGTAGTGATCGACAGATTACGTCACAGGGTTACACTTCCGTGTAACTTAATACATTATAACACCACGTGCTATCCACGTTAAACTTCTGAAAGGACCCATGAAAAGGCGTGTCAGAGAAATACGATACGAATGTTATTAAATGGTGCTTATCCCTCTTATAATTAAATAAAAAAGGAATCTAACTCTCTAATAAACACATTGTGTTTATTTTCCTATTCATCTAAGCTTACAATACTGATTTTCATATTTTTTTGAAGAATAAATTGTTAGACCAGGCTTTGGATAATAGTAATTTCGATAAATTTATAATTTTTCTAAAACATGTTCGACTTCGTTTGGAAATCTGAATATTAAATGGTGGTCATATCGAAAGTTCATCCGCGTCGCGAACCACCATCCACAGATGAAAAAGCCGTGAAGTTAATCGCGTTACGCTTTCAGTTTTGGATTAGGTCGACCGCGCATCTTGTTTAGATGCTATAGGCATATTTATTAGATGCTATAGGTATTTCATTTACCATCAATTTGACCCCATGTTTGTCCGTCTTCCTCTAATATTAAACAAAAATTAAAGTAAATTTTTTATGACTTCCCGAAAAGTTATAACTTCTTGAGAAAATATACAAATTAAATGAATAATATGATGTATATTCAAATAAATAATTAACTGTTGTTCAGGTATCATATTAGCTTTTCGTATGATGAAAATATTTTAGGTTATATTTAGTGACGTCACTCATTCCTAATTGTAGAAGTGATCAAGTACCAGTCGACTTCCAGCCGAGGTGTGAGACAGATTGCTGCAAATGGGATGTGCTTAGGGCTACCTCATATTTATTAATATTCCTTATTAACTTTATTCAACTTTTTTTTATTCATTCTATGAAACTTTAAAGTATTTGGAGTTAAAATAGTGTCTGTAGTTACCACATTGCATTTAAAAAAACTTTTGGAGAATGGTAGACAGCGTATTTTGCTTATACTTAACAAATTGCAAAGCTACACTTATTTTACAATCTTATTGTATCGAATAGTACATTATTACATTCGACTCTTATCCAGTGATTGAGTGTCCAAAATCAATCATATTTATTACGCCGAAACCGATGTATTAAGCAAAAACAAAATTTAAGTAAACATAATGTGTGGATTTTTTTTATAGGTATCAATGTGTTCATTATTTGATTATTAATTTTTAATTTCCTATTTACGCTAGTATAATTGTAGTTAAGAATTTATAATCGAAGTGACAACCCTAATATTCCAGGTGTGAAACATCAAGACATCGAGTTTACCCGCTCCGTTCATTTTAAGCGCCATCCACTTTGACTTACGACGGTTATGTTTTCTTAACAAATATTGCTCTTTCTACCACTTACATATATTGTATGTAGGTTATAATATGTTTAGTAAGATTAATCAAACGATACCCATACTTATTGTACCTTATTTTTGATCTATAAAATGTCTTAAGTTTAAACCACTCCAATAAATCATGTTTCAAAAGAAACTATTAAGTAATGTGTACATTACTAATGTATCAGAATTTTTGAAAATCTGATGCTGATAAGGAGGTAAAGTAAAATTAGCCTACCATTGCTAAAGCTTAAGGTTAACAGTGAACGTAACTAAAACCATGCCCATAAATGCCCAGCGTTTAAAACTTATCCAATATTTTATTGCTTTAGCAGTTTCTGTGGGCAGATAAGGTTTTATGTGTAATCTTTAAGAGAATGCTGCCCTAGGGTGCCATATTCTTCTTTTTCCTATTGGAACAGCCAATTTATTTTAATTTCTTCAAAAAATTGGTTCAAAATGAAGCCTGACGTCTGACATTGAACGTTGAGCTGACACACTGTGTCAGACGAGCTTAAGTGTCAAAAGCTTAACGTCAACAAAAGTAACGCTATAAAAAGTGGCATTTTCTTTATAAATATTTTGTGGATTTCCGACTTGAGCTGAAATAAACAGTATGTTTTAAAAGTTAATATGATTAATATGTAATTAACATTAATTGGTTTTAAAATGCTGCCCGGCATAGGTGTATTTGGGACTGGCGCAGTAGCCAAAGTATTAGTGCCATTCCTACGTGAAAAAGGATTCCCTGTAGAAGCAATCTGGGGTGTAACACTCCAAGAAGCAGAAAATGCCGCAAAAGAACTAAAGATACCATTTTTCACAAATAAAATTGATGATGTATTATTAAAAAAGAATGTAAACTTAGTTTTTATTGTCTGCGCCCCAAACTTACATGCACAAATATCAGTCAAAGCTCTCGGAATTGGTAAACATGTAGTCTGTGATAAACCAGCTGGGCTATGTCAGGCTGAGGCTTTAAAAATGGTGAGGGCAGCCCAGTATTACCCAACACTAATTTCTATTGTAAACCATTCTCTTAGATTTTTACCGGCTTTTAGCTATATGAGAAAAAGTATAATTGATGGATACCTTGGTAATCCTGCTGAATTGACGCTGATAGATGTAAGAGTACAAATGGGGTCCCTACTTGGAGACACATACAACTGGTTGTGTGATGATACTATGGGCGGTGGCACTCTTACATTAGTTGGTAGTCATGTAATAGATTTAGTTTCTTATTTGAGTGGCCAGAAGGTTGTAAAAGTACATGGGGTCCTGAGAACTTTTGTTGAAGAGACTCCCAAAATAAATGGTATTAGAAAAGTTACTGCGCCTGACTTTTGTACATTCCAATTGCAAATGGACAAAGGCTTACTAGTGACTGCAACACTTAATAATCATTTGCCAGGATTATGTTTTCATCAAGAAATATATGTGTATAGTAAGAAAGGATATTTAGTAGTGCGAGGTGGGGATTTACATGGGAAATTGCACAAGACTTGTATTGTGGAAGAGGAAGGTAAAAAGCCACAAGATAAAGAAGACGTTATATATGTTGACATAGAGGACTTGAGCTGTACTTCAAGTGTCATTCCTAAACCATACATCAAAGGGTTGTGTAAAATGATAAGTGCATTAAAAGAAGCATTTTTGCCTGTTAAAGAGCAAATGGATTGGATAAAAGAACCAGTTCGAACAGCTGCTACTTTTGAAGATGGACAAAGGGTGCAAGCAACAATGGAGGCTCTACGGCAATCAAACGAAGATGGTCGGTGGATTTCAGTCCAACTCCTCACTGAGACACCAGATCCTAATCCAGCATTCTCTGCTGCTGTTAGACGAACAGCTATTTCATTACAATAATGGCCATTTTCATGTACCTTATTATATAGACCAGAGGTGGTCAACCTTTTTGATAAGTACAGGACAATACAAATATTTTTCTAATTTAAAAGTAAGATGTATATTGGACAATAGCTTTATTTTATTGAGACTCGAGCTCCAGTATTCCTGCAAGCTGCATGTTGACTACCTCTGATATAGACTTAATTTATGCTTATTTTGCCAGTATTAATTAATGCCATATGATTATGTACTCCATTATTAGTGCATCACTTCATATTGCCTGTACAAAGATTGATCTGCATGCACTGTGATAAAAATATAGATTCTTTCTAAATTGATCTTTTGCTTTAATTTTTTTATTGTAAATACAATATTAGTATTAACAAAATTTTATTATTCTCCTTACAACCACATACGTAATTGCATTAAAAACTTTTAGAGTTCAAAGTCCTAGCAGTAATAGGTAATTAAATATTTCGCTTACTTAGTAATTATTATGAAACATTGAAGGTTATGTTCTAACCTCCAAATTGATTTAGCCCAAGGTTTAAACTATCAGTATACTATTTTAAGGCCGATTATTTGAAATAATACAACAGAATTTATAACAATATTATAATAAATGCAAAGATAACATGTTGTTGTTCCACAGCATTGAACATTACACAACCACAGCATACACATTCACTACTGAACTAAATCTAACTAAAACGTAATTCGAACCGATAAAGTAAAGCTAAACTATATTAATTTTCAATCTTGGCCAAAATATCAGATTCTCTAAATAGATGGTACTCCTTTTCGTCGTTTTCGAGGGACACTTTGGTGCCGCCGTACTCGGGGAGGAGCACCTTGTCGCCGACTTTCACGAGAACAGGAACGAATTCGCCATTGTCCTTCCTTGCTCCGGGGCCCACGGCAATAACTTCACCGTGGACAACTTTTGATTGCGCCTTCTCAGGAATTACAATACCGCCAGCGGTTTTAGTCACTGCCTCCGCACGCTTAATCAAAACTCGGTCCAAAAGAGGAATTAAACGTTTCATAGCGTTTGCCATTATGAATTATTGAAAGTAGTAAAACTAAGGAAGAATGTTGCGTTTCGAGAATCTAGAATCTTCTAATAAATCCCCGGCGAACTGGGAGAAAATTCAAGAATGAAGTTAACAATCTTGACAAGTTCGAAGTCCATGCGTTTTCGGTATTGCCCGAATTAATAATTAATTTTGTAGATTGTTTATCTAGTTGGCAATATCACCATAAATTTTGCGATAGAAAAAATAAATACATGAGACTCGTTTAAATTCAAAAATTATGTATTTGTAATTATATAAAATCTATGAATAGCGTATCACATGCCATCTGTTGGCCAAAAGGAAGAACAGTATAGTAAGTATAGATATCTCCGAAGGAAAATAATCATTATAATTACTCATAGTTCGTCTATCCACCGCTAGATGATGTTATTAAAAAAGTTATATTTACAAAAACTTTGTATATTTTACCATTGATCATTTTACTTAGAATGGTTCGAAGTAATTTCGTAAGCATCTGGAATAATTAAAATTCACCCTTAATTCCTAATTAGTTTCGTAACGACAAAACAGTTCAAGCAAATTTATTTTTGCTATTTTTAACGCGTTTTCTTTATGTAGGTGACATAGATACTATACAATAGAAATTGTTCAATTTTATATCTGTGATTTACAGCCATAATTGTAAGTACGCTCTCGGCGCCGAGCTGTGACCGTCGAAGGAATGTGCGCCGGCGCCGTCCAGTCTCGGACACACCTGCGCACGCAGCATTTACTCAAATACTCACACATACGAACAGATCGACTCATGCTTAGGCTTTTGCATTAAATCCATTGAGTATAAACACATATAATATAAGTAATATTATTTTCTTATAAGAAAGGTTGCTGCATATTTTATTTTATCACTCGTGTAGGACCGCAACATGCACCCTTTTTAGAAGAAAGACTAATAAGATCCCTTTCCCACTGTGAAACATAGGACTACAACATTTCTGTGTCTGTTTTATTCTTTTTTTTTATTCGTTCAGACTTGTGTACTAACTGAAACAATATAACTCCAGATTCGAAACCAAACCTCTTGTGATAACATCAAAACAAAACGTTTAACCAATGAACTTCAGAGGCAGTATGTAATATGTATGTATAAATATTTCGCAAAATATCTGTACAATGAGGTTTCGTTGTTGATGTCTATAAGTATTGTTGGTATTAATCAGAAGGTGCCACAGACGAAATGGAAAATAACTGACTTATACAAATGCCTTGATTAGTTGCTACACTTTAAGAAATGAATTAATGAGAATAATCACTTATTTCATTGACTTTTTTACCTGTTTATTCGATTGATTGCAAATACGGCTTATTGTTTATAAATTAGCGTATAATTAAAAGTGTGTGTCGTAACTAAGATCAAAAGTATTCGTATATTTTTTTCGTGTTGTAACATGTTAGGTAATAATATCCTTATTCGAATTTTCAAACATAATAACAATACAATCTCACCACTTCGTATAGCCATAACATATTTACATTTTTTATAATAGCGTAAATATTTAGAAACAATCTGAATCTTTCTGATTTATAAATAAAGTTTAAATTTCGCTGTTTTTATCTCAGTTCAGTTTGCGGTTGTTTTATGTGGATGAAACCAGCGTTCTCACGACAACGATTCACAGGTGCGCATCCGGCTATCTCAGTTCAAACTTAAAAGAATGATAGATGAATATTATATACTTACTTATACTGAGAATGATTCAAATCCGTTAGGGGCTAATTGTTGTCGTTAAAAAAAAAAAAAATTATTAGTGAAATATTAAAATATCCAATCTTATGTTTTGAGTTCTGACATACTTAGATTTCTTTCTTAATAGAGGTATATTTAGGTTAAAGTGACTACAATCCAATTAGGTAACTAGGTACATACTTCGTTTTGCATTCTAAACTGTTCAAAGCATAATATTATGTGCTTATAGTTAGATTTTTAATTCAAAGTCATCCATTGTAGACAGGACACAACTTTTATATTTATTTGATAAAAGCACATTAGTCAATAAACATAATCCTAAAAATTTATTTCAACATATAAATGTAAATTATGATTTATCGCAACACTATTATTGGAATCGATAATCAATAGCTCTATAATCGATGATATATTTAATTTTTATTTAAATGAAAATCAGCTACTTTTGTCACAATAATTATTAAATGTGTACAATTCTCGATACAACGCAGAATAATATCCATTACTTATTTGTTTATTAGCCTAAATGTCTGCTATTTGATGTATAAAACCGATTTAAAATAATCGTTTTTATGTTAGTAATCGATCGTTGTCGATTAATTTTTATCTAGAAGCTTTAGAAGGAAGCTGTCAGATTCGCTGTCACCGTCGGCGTCAAGCGAGCTTTGCAAAGTCGAAGACTAAAGTGCCCGCGAATCGAGGTTAAAGAGTTTAAACTTGAGTTATTAATATTTCGATTAATAAGTTAAAATAACATTTTGTCAGATTCTTTGTCTAGAAAAGTACACAAAACGGAAAAATGTTGCCTACCCCTATAGTAGAAACGTCGAAGGGAAAAGTACAGGGTATGATAAGTGAAAGTGGTTCTGGTACAAAATTCTTTACTTTTAAAAGTATTCCATATGCTAAACCTCCGATAAATGAGTTAAGATTTGCTGTAAGTATCATTAATAGGTTTCAAACTAATTTTTAAGAAGTTTGTGACACATGTATTGGTTTTGGTATGCTTGATTCGTAACACACCTAACTAAATTTCATTTCTCAGCCACCAGTACCCCCAGAACCATGGGAAGGAATTCGAGATGCCACAAAAGATTGCAGTATCTGTGCCCAATTCGATAAAGACTCATTCAAGGTTGTGGGTGATGAAGACTGTTTATATTTAAATATCTATACTCCAAAGCTTCTGGAACAAAATGCGAAACCATTACCAGTTATGGTATTCTTTCATGGTGGTGGCTTTGTCTTTGGCAATGGTACAGATGACTCCATACATGGAGCTGACTATTTGGTTGAAAAAGATGTTGTAGTTGTTAGTTTAAATTACCGTTTAGGTATACTAGGGTTTCTCTGCTTGGACTGTAAGGAAGCACCTGGAAATATGGGTCTGAAAGATCAAGTTCAAGCTTTAAAGTGGGTCAAACAGAATATTCAAAACTTTGGTGGTGACCCAGAAAATGTTACTATATTTGGCATAAGTGCTGGTGGTGCATCAGTGGAGTACTTAATGCTATCGCCTATGTCAAAAGGTCTGTTTCATAAAGCAATTGCTCAATCAGGATCGTCCTTATTGCACTGGGCGCAGTCTTCTAAAATAAAACAGCTAGCTGGTATGATCCCAGTAATGAAAAAAGTACCAGTTGGAGATGACAGTGACTTACTGAAGTATTTAAAAGGCATGTCTACACAAGATCTGATAGCTACATCCATGTTGGTTTTGGCTGCAGATAAATGGAGAGGTGGTATTCATTTTGGGTTTGTACCAACTGTGGAAAAACCAGTTGATTGGGAACCATTTGTAAGTAAATCGACATATGATTTGTTAGCTCAGGGAGAGTTCCATAAAGTTCCATACATGGCTGGGTTTTGTGAGCGGGAAGGCCTTCTAATGGTGACACATGCGGCACCAATACTAGAACAATTGATGAAGCATAAGAAATTTTCGCCACATCTCCCATTTGGTCTTGATGAAAGTGAAACAGCTGACTTGGAGACAGAGGTCAAAGCGATATATCTAGACGGGGAGAAGAAATATGATGAACCCGATTCATTTGCAATAGACTTCTTTACAGATGTAGATTTTTTGGGTGGTGTTTACGTATCAACAATGTTGATAGCAAAACATAATTCACCAGTTTATTTCTACGACTTTGCATACGATGGTAATTTGAATTATATAAAGAAGAAACACAAGATGAATAGAGCTGGCGCTTGTCATGGTGATGATGGAGGGTATATTGTTTGGAGCAGCATACTTACAGACCCTACGGAGACAGATTTACTTGTTAAGGACCGAATGTGCACTATGTGGACTAATTTTGCTAAGTATGGGTAAGCGATGTTGAGAAATGAAGTATTTCACTTTATTGTCCAAATAAATAAAATTCATGACTTTTATTGTATTTTACTTAAACTAAGAAATAATATAAGTTATTTTAAAGTTACAAATGATTGTAATAATATGTCTAACAATACTTCTTTCTTATTTCAGAAATCCCACACCGAAAACAGATGAGCTTATTCCATGTATTTGGGAACCGATTGCTGAAACAGGATTGACCTACCTGCAAATTGATAAGGATTTGACAAACAAACATACATTATACTCAAAACGGATGAAGCTTTATACCGAGCTATATGCAAAATACTACCAGCCTTAACAACATTAGGAAATTAACAATGCTCTAAGTTCTTAGTAATCATTTTATTTATTAATTACCCTTTACCAATACAAGTGTAACTTGAATGTGATAAAAATATACTTATAAGAAATATTTCTTATACACTTTACTATATAATTTGTTGTATTAAAAAATATACTAGAATAAAAAACTTTTTATACATATAAAAATGCTGTTTTCAACTAACCTTTTCATAATTCATTTAAGTTGTATTAATAATGATGTAATATGCAACGGTACAATTGCAGGTTTGAATCCTGGCTGTGTTATAACATAATTATTTAAAAAGGAATATAATCCAACATAATTCTTTACAAACAAATCTTAACCTCGTTCCTGACACACTATGTATATTAATGTTCAGACCTTAAATAGTATTTATATAATTGAAAGCTTTTAAGAATTCAAAAATAGTCAAACAAACTCAAATTTGATAAAGCACGGTGCATCGTTGATCGTCAGTTCGAGTTCCGCCCGTGTCATAATTTTTAAATTATGAAACTCGGGAACTACGAATTGAATTTTTTTTTTGTGCTGGTTGGACCATTTATTGAGGAAGGCTTTAGGCTCAATCAAACTCCTGTTTCGAACGAAACTATATCGTCATAATATGGTAATGTAAATAAAATAAATGAATTAAGTAGTAAGTAATTAAATTTTGGCGGGAAATTCAAAACTCGCGGTTACCATGGCAACCGATTAGGCCCGTAGCCGAGGTCAGGCATCGCCGGTATGCGGGTAGGTATCGCTATTGTATGTACCAACCTTGCAGGTGCGCGGCGTGGGAACTCGGTATTTGGCTGAACATTAGGCTTCCAGATAGAACCTTCCAATATGTCTTAAGATTTTTTGCTAAGGTATCGTCGGTTTACAATTCTCATGGCGGTGGGTTAAGTTCAACTATTTGAGTAAAAACAGTAAACTGCATATAATCTTTATTTCTATTAAAAAGTACTACCCATAAAACTTAATAAATTATAAACTATACTAATATGTCATATATTTCTAGATCGCCCTTAGAGCAATGGTGAAAAGCATCGCGTTAGGCGCTTAAGATTGAAATGTAAAATTATTAATTTTGAAAGATTATTTCTTAAATTGAATACCAAGGAAACAAGTATACAGGGCACAGAGTATTGATTAACAGCTCAGCCACGAATATAACCGAGCGAAACAAACAGTAATGTGTATTCATTTTATTAGTATTTAATAACTCAGTAAATATTGCCTACTTACTTAGACCATACGACGCATTATATATATAAGTATATAATATACTAGCTATGCCCGCGACTTCCTCCACGTGGAATAGTAGCTTTGGGTAGAATTTTTAATTATTTAGGCTATTTATTTATTTATTCTATAAATTTAATGAGACACTTATGTACATAATAAGTGTTTCACTACAAAGAGCTTATTAAGGTATTCATAATAAGTATATCCATGGTATAGTGTATTTTTATATGCTTATTAGAGTACACTTTTATAGTTACTTTTACGTACTTACTTACACGTTTAGTTGCATTTATAATTAAGTCCTATAAAAATTAATTACGATACATCCACACAACTTTTTATACCTTATTCAACCCCTTACTATCTTTTTTTTTTCGTATAGCAAAAGGTTACAATGCATGTCATCGAAAAGGGCGCATTTAATGCCTTACTACTAACTTTGCCGCAACTCCAACACTTCCTCCCATTCCCAAAAAGCAAAAAAGAAAGTTTCATTGTTCTAGCTTTAAAAATCACGAATTTCCATACAAACTTTCATCCCCCTTTTCAACCCCTTTTTTGGCATTAAAAAGTAGCTTATGCTCTAGAATATCTGTGTACCAAATTTCATTTAAATCGGTTCAGTAGTTTCGGGATGAAAGCCGGACAGACAGACAGACAGAGTTACTTTCGCATTTGTAATATTAGTAGTGATGTAATGTTTGGCTATTGGTATAGTAATTAACTAGTCGTGGGTTCGATTATAAGTTCTACATTTTTTTAAATTAATCTCATTTTTCTGAAACACGTTATCGACACGACTCAATATCTGTAAAAGTGTGGTTAGAACATCGCATCATAAATAAACAACTTCGAAGGATCATTCGATCCAACCGCTTAGTTGTCGATTATAAAATAGCTGACATTTGGCCCCATTCATTTTAATATGCTTCTATTCTATTCTATTATATCATTGTGCACAATCGTACTTCTATTTGTTAACAATAGCCCAATGTGTTGACATCTGCTTCAAAAGGCGATACAGCTTTTTGCAAACTTAATACGCGGCCCGTCGATTACGTCATATGATTAATTCAAACAATTTTCAATTCTAATGTTAAAACAATTAATGCTAGTTTCGCTCGTTCACCACTATCGCACGGTACCGCACAAATTGCCACTTGTTACTTTGGCGGAGGGTTGACAGCTATTTGTACTTTTTGTGTGCTATAGCAGTTGGCGCAAATATGATAATTATTGACTTGTGTAGGGAATGCTTACCTGCTTAAAATACACAATCTTGCAGGTTGATTAATGTTTACTGGATTTTTCCGATAGTCTGGTCGTGATATGAGCACTCGTTTCGTTGGTAAGGTTTTCGATCTTCAGTCACGCACTAGAATAAATTGTATTTTTCGATACATGGTCCTAAGTACCGCAGACTTAACACAAACACAAGTGGAAATCGACATGTGTTAAAACTACAAATTATACCTCTTGTGCCATGTGCCAACACGCGTTTCACCAACTGTTTTGGCTAACGTGGACAACATTTTCATGTTCTTCGTGCTCTTAGCCCCTGTCCAGCGTTTTAGCTATTAAAACGAAGGATTCTTCACCAAGAATGAAACAACATATAGAAATCATCTATACCAATAAGTAAAGCTGAAGAGTTTGTCGGTTTGTTTCTGTGTTTGAACACGCTAATCTCAGGAACTACTGGTTCGAATTGATAAATTATGTTTGTGTTAGTTAGAGCATTTATCGAGGAAGGATATAAAACGCTGTGACTAATAGGAGATACAATTTATATAGATGAATGGGAGGTTTGCAAAAACGAATTTGGATGCCCAAAATAACTATTCTACGCGGACGAAGTCGCTGGCACAGCTAGTATTTCATTAGCGCATTCAGCTAACCATGTCCATTCATATTAAAATGACATAAGCAATCAATTATTATGTGAAGTCTAATTAGCCTAGCTTCGTTAACCTTTATGCAAGGTATAATACTTTATTTATTGGCTTCATTTACTGGTAGTTTATATTGTGAAATCTCGGACTAAAATAATGGCTAAGCCTCTTTTATCAATCAATTTTTCTTACACACAAACACCAAACTTCTCTTCGTCTCCTCTTTCTCTTACTTATACTCTTATATATATATATATATTTTCGATACATGGTCCTAAGTACCGCAGACTTAACACAAACACAAGTGGAAATCGACATGTGTTAAAACTACAAATTATACCTCTTGTGCCATGTGCCAACACGCGTTTCACCAACTGTTTTGGCTAACGTGGACAACATTTTCATGTTCTTCGTGCTCTTAGCCCCTGTCCAGCGTTTTAGCTATTAAAACGAAGGATTCTTCACCAAGAATGAAACAACATATAGAAATCATCTATACCAATAAGTAAAGCTGAAGAGTTTGTCGGTTTGTTTCTGTGTTTGAACACGCTAATCTCAGGAACTACTGGTTCGAATTGATAAATTATGTTTGTGTTAGTTAGAGCATTTATCGAGGAAGGATATAAAACGCTGTGACTAATAGGAGATACAATTTATATAGATGAATGGGAGGTTTGCAAAAACGAATTTGGATGCCCAAAATAACTATTCTACGCGGACGAAGTCGCTGGCACAGCTAGTATTTCATTAGCGCATTCAGCTAACCATGTCCATTCATATTAAAATGACATAAGCAATCAATTATTATGTGAAGTCTAATTAGCCTAGCTTCGTTAACCTTTATGCAAGGTATAATACTTTATTTATTGGCTTCATTTACTGGTAGTTTATATTGTGAAATCTCGGACTAAAATAATGGCTAAGCCTCTTTTATCAATCAATTTTTCTTACACACAAACACCAAACTTCTCTTCGTCTCCTCTTTCTCTTACTTATACTCTTATATATATATATATATATATATATATATATATATATATATATATATATATATATATATATATATATATATATATATATATCAATTCGTCAATTCGAGGTATAAACTTTACTATGGGTTTATGGATTTCTATGATCTCCACGAAACTCAGAAATTGTACCCCTCTGTGGTAAAATTCGCAGCGATGACAAATTATATACGTATCTATCTACCTAACGTTAAACAAGAAACAAGACAATTAAACAAAGAACAATTATTGTATTGTATCTGATAGTATTAATGGAAATAAACTAAATAATATAGAAATATACAAAAGTACCTACTATCTATAGTTTTCGTGAGTTGTACACATTACGATATATTAGTTAAACTTATTTGAAAATGATTTTTAAGTTCGGCCCGACGTTTCAGATGCTTTGCAGCAGCTGTGATCACGGGGAGACAACAATATACAAAAGAGTGACTTAAAAATCTAAAATACGTACCAACAAAAAATTAGTCAAAGAAAAATCGTAAACGATTACATAAGACAAATTATTATTGCTAATCTGATAAAAATATTTCGTTTACGTGTGATGAATTGAATATTTTAATCAAATCGAATTCTTAACGTGAATTGCGTATTTAATGAACCAAGCGATTGTGTTTCTATTAAAACATTTTGTAAATAATAAAATGAAATATGATAGTTTGGTTTCTTAAAAAAAAATAAAACTCTCACCTAAAGTTGGTAGCTGATGTTGTAGACTGTTTCAGCATCTTTCTTTACAAATTTCAATGAAAAAGATTTAATAATAATTCATTATAATTCACAAGCAATATGTGTATTTATATATGTCAGGTATACTCAAATTAGCTTTGCCAGTAATATATTTATATGTCCCTTGACGCTGATGTTTTCTCGAGTAAACCCCGGATCCTCGGTCGTGGACCCGGACTCCTGCTCAATTATTCCATTTTCATGCACAACACACACCACAGATAAAAAAGCTGTCAAGTCAAGGGGGTTAAAGCTGACTAAAACTAACAGGTGCCTAGTGCAAAATGGTCTGAAGCTCCTCAAAGCCAAGTTTATCGCGTCAATAATTCAGATAAAAATTTTACGCTTCATGACCACGAATAACTGCAATTAAACAAGTATAAAGATAAGTACTTCAACGAAGGTCTTTATCAAAATATTAAAGATAAAAAATAATCCGTTCGTTTTATCAAAGGAAGCATAGAATTTTCATTAAATTAACAGCACCTGTTTTATTATAAAAAAGTATAACGTCTACTTGTCTCATTATATTAAAGTAATCGCAGTTTGGAAAAAATAAGCTTGATATAAGTAAAATTAGATATAAGAGGAATTATCGCAAATGGATCTGATGTAATTGTTCAATTAGCCAACGGAAGCTGTACTAAAATCTGAGTTTTTTTTTTGTATTTTTGTGCAAACAACACTGCAGTTAGGAACTTAAATACTTGGTTAAATAAAATCCGCCATTAATGTGCTATTATATATACTTACAGTTCTAACACGTTCTGGTATTAAAAAAAAAACGATATTAATATAAGCATAAAACAATATAAAGATAGAAGATATTTAGAAGATAGAAAAATCTTATTATTTACGACATAGGCGTAATCAAATGTTTTAGTTTTTTTAATAGCAACGTCTAAGACGTTTGTAATGAGGTGTGTAAGAACATAATTACGACTTACTTACATACACTTGCTTGCTACCGATTCTACCTGTACATTAAACATTAAAAAACAATTTAGGGATACTTATGACTACAGTAAGTATGTTCACACCTTATAGCATAATTTTAGAACTATCAATTAAATGTGGGTCGTAAGAAAGAGTTTTAATGTTTGAAAACTTAAATATTTTTCACATTTTACTGCACACGATGGCATTATATAAATTAAAAATCGAATTTAATTTAATAACTTGTAGTAATTTGACGATGTCGTGTAAGACATGGTAGCTCAATTGGTTAGAACAGCAGCACGCAACGTTTTGGAAACCGATTCAAATCCCGCCTATGTCGTCATTCAATTCAATCTTATCGAAAAGATTTTTTTAGAGTTATACTGATGAAAAATAATATGATTGAGATCCAAAAAAACGTTCATTGTTCAAGCGCTTTGTTCAATAAATAAAGCACTTTCAAAAGTTTTAACGAAATATTTACTTTAATTTATTTTTAACTAAGTACAACCCAATGTTTCGGGTTTTATTCAGCCGCTGTAGTCAGAATACGCGAAACATATTAAAGATTTAAAAGGTATATTTCGAGTTTTAAAGCGTTAAATATATTTTACTATAAAGTCCACTTAAGTATACTTGATCTTCCAATCCAACCAATTAGCGTTTGTTATTTACTTAGTTAATTTTAAAACTAGTCTCTAAATGTACTTATGAACGGAACTTTGTTTTCTTTTCTAGATCGCGTAACTTAAGGCTCTAATAAATACAGCCTAGATTAAAACTTATATCGCCTCACAAATACACCACAGATCATATTCCATTGCCTAATTTACAATTTAAATATTGTCTATAAGTTGTAGACTTCACTCAATATGGTGAGTTGATTGACAGCCGAGGTGTTATTCCTACGTTACGTAAATACGTAATTATGCTTCAGTATCTATTGTCTGATAGTACTTATCTTAGGTCATCTCCGATGAATGTATCGAACATGACTTGGACGCGTTTTTAATATGCATGTATGACAAAATATGGTCATGTTAATTATGAAGACACCTTTTTGAAGGTCCATCCATCGTACTAATCCTTACTAATATTATAAATGCGAAAGTAATTCTGTCTGTCTGTCTATCTGTTACTCTTTCACGCCAAAACTACTGAACGGATTTAAATAAAATGTTCTACACAGATGGTTTAGATCCTGAGAAAGAACATAGGCTACTTTTTATTGCGAAAAGGGGATTGTAAGGGGTTAAAAGGGGGGGTGTACGTTTGTATGAAAATTCGTGGTATTTGAAGCTTTCAATGAAACTTTCTTCTTTGTCTCTTTGGAAATAGGAGTGGGAGTGGGAGTTAGAGTAGGAGTGATGTGAGGTGAGAGTGTTGCGGCAAAGTAGCACTTACAACATAGATTGGCTGCGAGAAATGCGCAATTACATAAATTGATAATCAGCCTAAATAATTAAAAACTCTACCCCAAGGCACTATTCCACGCGAACGAAGTCGCGGGCACAGCGAGTATTATATATATAACGTAAAAGTTTGTATGTGTGGATGGATGTTTGTTACACTTTCACGCAAAAACTACTGAATAGAGTTCAATTAAACTTTCCAATAATATAGCTTATACATCAGAATAACAAAGTAACTAGGAAAAACCCTACCTTTCTGCGAGCTATTCTGGCAACAACAAGCTACTTTAATAAGTCATTGCAACGGATTCAAAAAAGTGTCCGCTTGCTGTTTAGGCTTTAAAAATACCTTCAATATAAATTAATAAATCTCTATGAAGCTATTGTCTTTGGTACCCACGTATTTTCTACATTCATTTTTTAAATTCAAATTTCGAACGCGAATCTATAAAACACCTGTAACAACCGAACTAAAGGATAATTGATAAAATTTCGTAACACGAAGATGTGATTATTTACGAACAATATTATAATTGTTATCAGTTACACGATACCTTATCTCGCCCATTGCTGTTAGTAGTTTGTGCCATACTATTCATAAAGTACATTCAAATCAATAGTAACTCGCAAAACGTCACTAAGCGTGCCACGTGCAACATTCGAACGCTTAAGAGAGCTCGCGAACAGAAGAACGACTCAGTTTCGAATGTATCACAACACAAGACACTACAACCATGGCTAAAGTGAACGGTACGAACGGGATCTCGAGTGAAATCAGAACATCTGCCCTGGACCTCATTGGAGAAACCCCGCTCCTCGCGTTAGATCGTCTACATCCTGGCCCGGGACGAATCCTGGTCAAATGTGAGTTCATGAACCCTGGCGCGTCGATCAAATGCAGATCCTCACTGCACATGATCCAAGAAGCGAGAGCGAAAGGTCTTCTCAAACCGGGTCAACCAGTACTCGAAGTGACGTCTGGTAATCAAGGATGTGGTCTTGCAATCGTCTGCGCTATTTACGGGCATCCCTTGACCGTGACCATGTCAAAAGGTAACAGTTTGCAGAGAGCCATACACATGGAAGCACTCGGCGCCAAGTGTGTGAGAGTACCACAAGTAGAGGGTACTTATGGAAACGTTACCATCAACGACGTCAAGGCCGCTGAAGAGGAGGGCCTCAGGATTGCGGAAGAAACCGGCGCGTATTATGTTAACCAATTTAATAATGACGATAACGCGAATTCCCACTACCTCACCACAGGTCCTGAAATCTGGAGGCAGACCGGCCAGCATATCGATGCTTTTATTGCTACCGTGGGTACTGCTGGTACCTTCGCGGGCACATCTAGGTATTTGAAGGAGAAGAACCCTAATATCAAATGTTTTGTTGTGGAGCCGGAAGGATCGCAGCCGATCAAAGGTTGCCCCATCACGAAGCCATTGCATTTACTCCAAGGTTCGGGGTACGGTTGCATTCCTAACCTGTTTAAGTTCGAAACTATGGATGGAACTTTAAGTGTCACTGATGAAGAGGCTGTTCATTATAAGAATCTGATTGGAGAAAAGGAAGGTCTATATGTGGGTTACACGAGCGGTGCCAACGTCGCGGCAGCTGTTAAGCTGTTGAAATCTGGTATACTACCAGAGGATGCTTGGGTTGTGACTCCATTGAACGACTCTGGGCTCAAATACACGCCGGTACCCGAAAGCCTAACGTAAAGTTATCTCTTTAATAACTTTTACCTCATACTCACTAACTTTAAGGAATATACTAAACGTATCTTGCAATAAGAAACCAAATGTAATATAACAATGAAAATCGTGCGTGTGTACATAAAAATCTCTTTTCTACCTAATTTATTTATTAAATGTCACCGATAAAAACGTCGAAATAAAACAACATCGATAATAATATAACTTCGTTTTCTTTATCACTTCCTGATCGTTACATTTAAAATAAATATTAGTCTAGTTGATATGACGCCTCTCGGCCTTCTTATAAATAAAAAATATAAGTCGCTTTATGTAATAAATATACAATATATTTATTAATAATAATTCTAAATAATAATAAAAGGGTCAAAAAATAAGCGTGGTTAACCAACCGTTAAATAAAACATTTTAACGGTTTAAAATTATTTTAACTAGTCTCCCGTGACACGGCAGCTGCTAAGCATCCGAAACGTCGGGCCGTAGTTAAAATTATTATTTTTTTAATTTTAACTAATATATACCGCGTTTTAGAACGTCAATTTTAAATTTTAAACTTAAGTCTTTGTAATATTATTATAATTGTATCTTAATTGTTAGTTTTACTTGATTTTAGTAGTCCTTTAATAATATACCAACATCGTATTTATAAACTAGATACACAGCAATAACAAGATCCAATATGCCTTCAGGATGTGGATAATTTAGTGGCATCAATTCCGAACTATAAAATCTATTCTTGCAGGTGTATTCGATTAATGGCGTCGTTCTTTATTTGGAACCCAATTTGCCATTTTGGGTGATGGTGCTAATTTGTGGGTTTTTTGTTTGTGCCCTAGGCGCTGGCGCAAAATTGCGCAGAATTAGAAGGTTAGTTCCGCTGATTGCAGGGCGCAGTTGATTTGCAAAAACCCTTCGTAGAAAAAAATTGGACCCATCAAATTCTTTTGGCGGACGATTCCACAGCTTAACAATATAATTATTTGGAACATTTCTACGAAAATACATATAGTAGCATACCTTTTTTAATTAATGTCTTTCACTATTGACCTTACATGTTGATTGATAAGAATACATTTCGGTAAAAACTTACGCAATGTATCTATTTACTGTGTATATAAAAATAACCTCGGCAAGTTATTTTTAACTGGAATGTTAATAAGTACTTACGGTAATACATTATTGATTGATAGATTGTAAAGTAACGATGGGTTGATAATATCTGTGGTCATTAATGCAACACCATGATATTTAGCGACAATAGATAATAAATTAATCTGTGGTCTTGTGAATTAAGCTTAGCGAATTGCTGACTGTCCAGCGGAATAAGTTTCTTTTGATTAGATTTTCAAGTTGCCCTCTTGTTAATAATTAAATGAGATGCAAAGAAATGTTAGAAATATATAGATGCAATTTGTACGTCTAATCAAATGCCTTATTCTCAATACGCACTTTTAGTTGCTGTCACAGATAAAACACACACTTCATAAAATATATTTTTGCGTTTATACTTAAACATACCTTTGGATGGTTTGCTAAATTTCTTATTTCAAACTTAAAATTCGCTGTCGCTTTCGCCAGCTTTTAAGATAAGGCGTTAATATACCTGTCTAGACGTTTTCCGCTTTTATACATTACATATTATCTTAAGCTACCTTAATCTTTTGTAGGAAAACATTATAAGTTTATTAAAAGTCACTATTACTGGCCAAAATTATAAAGATATTGCGATATTACTCGCAGTGTTGTCTTTATTCTCCCCATGAATGAATATAACCACGATTATAAACGATTTTAATAGAACGATTGAAATGTATGGCTAACAATCAAGAGTTCCATTACTACGAGCGCCAAAAAATTTTATATTTTGTCTAAAACATGCTAGACTTTCTGAAATATTAAATGATAGGCATATCGAATTTATGTCTACAGCCACCGTCTTTATATCTGCATTACAGTTTTAGTCTGTTTCAAAAAAATCTAAATTAAAAAAAAAAATATGATAATAGATACTTTAGCTAATTGGCTATTAAGAATTTGTAGTAATAAGAATCGAGTTCTATAAAACTGGTTTAAAATAGTTATTATCCGATTTTCCTATTCATTATATATTTAAAGATAGACAAGTTCGTATATCTGTGGATCTCTTTAATTTCCAGTGCAAATATAATTTTGTGGGGCATGGGGCGAACACTTTTCTGTGCCCGTTATACTCGATTTGCAAGTTGATCAGAATTGCCGCCCAAACAAAACCATTGTTATCCAAGATTCGAACCCAGGATCTCTCGTTCTTAACGCTACGAGGCGGTTACATTTTGCATTATGTAACTAAATGTAATTATTTGCACAGATAATCGACCGAATATTTGTAAACGTGACTTCTGCACCTCGACGAAACTTAACGACTCGCGTTCATTACAGATAAGAACTTTAGCGAGCTATGTTTATATTTTGACTGCTATTATTTACCTATTTTCGTGTAACCATAGAAATAACCGACCAACTGCGACTCAGATCGTGCACGAGGGGTTCCGTAACTTTATTAGTTTTCACATGTTATTTCATATGATGGCGTTGTATCTATAAACTATAATTCCTTTTCAATCTAAAATCGATTTTGAATCTTTGTTAAGCCACGGGAGAATTAATGAAGGCGTGGTCTTATTATTAGTTAACAAAGCTGCTTTGAGTGAAAAATATAACTTTATTTATTGTAAATTTGAGTGTAAATCTTATATTTGAAAACTGCATTATTTTTCACATGTGCCCCGTGTAGGTATATATTGTAAGGTTAAAATTACGCGAAGTGACTGTATCAATTCGATAATAACGTGTAAGACACGGTAACTCAATTGTTTAGATCGTTGGATGTACGCCGATTCAAATCCCGCCTGCGTCATATTGTCCACTTAAATAGTTATTTGGTCTTCACCAGTCTATCAATAGTAATATTATTAATTTGTAGTTTGTTTGTTTCAACGCGCTAATTTAAAATTATTTCAACTTAATTCGAACAAGGAGCTCCTGAGAACAGCTTTAACCTACCAAACGTCACCCTGCGACCAATACGAGCGAAGAAACAGTGGGGAATGTGGAAAAACACGGTGGGAAATATTCGTCTTTTCAGCTTTCTGATTCGTGCGCTGCGAAAACGTTTAAAGATACGCAAAAAAATATGTATTTAAGATTGATTCCTCTGTAAACGATCTAGTTGTAAGCGATAATATAAGTCTATATTTTAATCGCAAGAGCGACGTGACGCGATACGACACGTAACAGCTATAATGTACAAAGATGAGAAGGTTTGCAAGAACAAATGTAGATGATAAAAAATAACGCGAACGAACGCTATTAGTGGACGAAATCGACAAAAAAAAAACTTACTAAACTAAACGATAAAAACGTGAAATATCTTCGCGTTATAAGTTACAAGGGTTTTATTTAAATGTGTACTACTCGCGTAAAGTACAGACCGTACTTAATTAACCATGGAGGGACTATTTTATTATTTAGGTAATCGTACCATCGTTTTATCTTTCGGGCACCTAAGGAACGCAAAATAAGTAGTGCTTATGTAACACTATATGCCTAATCACAATGATACGACAATTTATTCCTTCAACATATTTTTTTTATCTACTCTATGATATATATACTCAATGTCAATAACATAAGAAATATTAATGGTCATGCTGATTTAATTATTTTTTATCTTCTAATATTTATAAGATATAATTTGACATTAGATACTTAAATCTATGTCTAATGTCAAATTTGCTATAGCGCCACCTGTTTTTACGATATTGATATTCAAGGAACGGGATACTGTAAGTCAGTTTTGTATAGACCATCCAGAGTTCTGGTTATAAAAATGGCTACGTATCCTATGTATTTAGATAAAACACTTTTACGGATTATTTTTACTACGGCCCGACGTTTCGGATGTTAAAGGTTTTTACTTTTAGCTTCAGAACAAGAAAAATAAGTTTCCTATTCTATAGTACTTATATTTCTATTAAAGATTTTGAATCTAACAATATTTTTGTATTTCAAGCGGATCAAACATTGATCTTAAAATTAAAATTTGCTTCGCAGCTTTCAAATGTCATATCGGGCTTTAAAAAACCCATCCGACATTTAAAATTCAAATAAATAAAGTTAGCGCCTCACATTTATTTATTGGCTTCCCATTTCAATGAATAAATTATAATATTTAAATGCACTTGTTCATTCAGTGATGAAATCAAATTGTCATTCGACAAAAGTATCAAATCATGTGACTTATGTCGGACTCAGTGATATTTAGATTCAATAAACAATATTAGATAAACAATAAAATTTAAATTAAGTTTAAAGATTTAAATTTAGAATAAGGAGTAATAATAAAAGGAACAAAAATATATATTTTAATTACCGTCAAGTGATCTTGTGAATTTAAAATATATATTTAAAAGGTAGCTGTAATATAAAGAATAATATAAAACATCTTAATTATGTTTGTTTGTTTTTAAAATGGTTTTATTAAATCTCAGTTATTCTTAACAGGTCTTTAACTCGTCTCCTGTTCGAGATAATAATATTATGCCGGTACGATTATCACAGTCTCTGTCAATATTGACGAGGATGAGATGAGAATCTTGCGTTTGCACAGGTGGTCTCTCGGTATGGTTAACCTCTTGTGTTTATTTAGTGAATTATATTTGAAGCACAAGATCATAGATAATGAATTTCTATAAAAAGATAATGTATAATAAAAAAAATCGACAATGACGTAGGACTCGGTAGCTCAATTGGTTAGAGCAACAGCACGGAACGCAGACGATGCCGGTTCAAGTCCAGCCCGAGGCGTCAATTTTTTTTTTTTTTTCGATTTTTTAAATAATAATTCTAGAGGTCATTTGCTAATATATACTTACGTAAATAGAAGACGTATTCCTAATTTATGTCTAACATTCGTGAATAATAAATGCAATTTAGTAAGTTTGAGAATTAACTTCAATCTTCATGATCTTATTATTTATTATAAAGTAATTTAAATAAAATAATTTTAAATCGTAAAAATATTTAGTGTCTTATATCTGTCTAACTATATGTTATATATCAAATAATGGTGATTAAAAAAATTTATAATAAGTTCGATTAATCTTGTACTTTGTTTTGAGGATAGTTTCGTTAAAAGTGATATTTCAAGGTTTTTTCATCTCCAGACGATAGTAATTGGTACATGAAAGTTTGATATTCTCAAACCATACATTTTCAGTTTTCTAGATATACTTTATAATCAAGATTTTATGGTGTAGAAAATTATTTAGACATCACAAATACATAAATGAGTCCACTAAGTAAGTAAGCCTGGTTAGTTTAAATGGAAATCGAATCTACAACCATTTATTATTACGTGTAGTATTTGGTTACCGACAGTGGCCAATTCTTAACCAATCAATATAACACGAAATCTATCAAAGGCATATTAGTCATTCTCTTCAACATGAATATATATACGATGGGTATACAAACTCAGTATGAAAAATGAATGAAGTCTCCAAGTACTTGCAACGAAAGGTGCGCCGTTGTGATTGGAGGTCCACAGCAGATGGCAGGCGGCCATTCCGACGCGTTTCCTATTAGAATCGTGTTAGAGACTTCATTCTGTAATTATTACAAACTACTCTCTGTAGGGTTGGCATTACAAGAAAATGCACATTACATATGAGGCTGATAGTGGCCTATTAACATTAATGATGATTTTAGGAAAATAAAAATACGCAATTAACTTAGGTGATAATGAATTTCTTCTATTATTTGTGTAAGAACTGTGTTAACAATTTTCAGCCACTGTGCTCTTGTAGATTAACATTTTTAGACTATAAAATATAGTAAGTAAACTTCCTTTCATCATGGGTTGCCTGGAAGAGATCGCTTGTTAGCGATATGGCGGCCCATTGCACTCCATATTTTTAGTATACAATTGCACAACAAAGTGTAAATGAATTAAAAAAAATAAGTCAAGTCATAAATTGCGGTTAGGCTACTGTGGCTCTAGCGGCCTCATATTTAACTCTTAAGATGAAATGTATTTTGAACGAGTTGACACGCGTTTTGTTCATAGACACCTCAGGTTTACAAACACGTTCGAACCTACCGAAGTTTATTTTGAACGATGTAAACCTCTTACAACACTTACAATAAACAATATTGTTGTTTTATAGATTATATGCGTAATTATACTCAGGTTTATTAGGTTCTTACGTCAGTAAAATGAAGGTTGAAATAATAAAGTTAAGGTCTAAATAAGATAACCTATGCTGCGATCTAAACAGTTAATAAAAACACCAATTCTGTGTGTAATGTTTGTTGATATGAAATATTTTTTTGATTAACTGAAAATGTTTAGTAACATTTGAAAATTTACTACGAGAGACGAAAAATATATATTTATGTTTCAAATAAGAAAAAGATTGAAAGAGCTGGCAAGTAACGCACCGGTAGTCTTTCGCCAAATTTCAATTACCACACCAGTGTTCGCTTACTTAGTAAGTGGCACTTTTATATAATTTTGCTGGAGCTCAATGTTTAAACCAGTCGTCCGAACGCTATGGTTGCCAGTTCAAGCTCTGCTCGTGTTATCAATTTTTTCAACTTAAATACATTTTAAGTTAAATGATTGTTCACCCAAAAACGTTACAACGAAATTTAAATGCAATACGCATTTAATAGTTTTCTAAATTACTAAGATATTAAAATCTAGGTTAGTTCTTACTAGAGAATCGTATAACATGGGTTCTTTTAATAAACACTTATAAAAAATAATAGACCGAACTTGAAATTCATAACATATTTTAGTTGTATTATTTTGTTTTAAGCGTACTAGGAATCTTTTAAATTGTTCTTCTAATACCATTTCTATCGAGAAAATGGAAAACTTAAGCGGCACAGCCCTGACGAACGAACAAGCAGGTGCGAGACACCCACGTACAATTCACATTTATCTATTGACATCAACCGACGGAAATCAAGACACGAATGTATTTTAAACTATTGTGCTTCGGAAAATCTCTCCATAAAAATGTCAGAGGTCCCAGTAGCGTCGTTAATTATTCATTATCTGAGATTTTACTGTGGTATTTTTATTGGTTGCGATAAGCAGTAGCGACTTGCCGTACAATAAAGAAATATGTAGCAAAATGTAAGAATAGAACAATTGCTCGGAGTTTTTTTTATGTAAAGTTATTGAGATACACTTTTTAACGGTTTAAAACGCGAAACTTGGTAGTTTCGTTTGGTACTCTTCGCGTTCCACTAAGCATCCGAAACATCGGGCCGTTTGATACCATTTAAATGTGTATTAGTCGTGTAAACTACAGACAGTACTTACATTTTATGAATCTAATTTTTCAATTGTCACCTACTTTCTGGTCTATTATAGGAACTTCAAGTTTTATAGCACTAAATCAAGGCATGTATGTTTACCACTTATTAATACGTTATAGTATTGATTGTACGAAAACAGGCTTTCAATTTGCCATTTTAAAATGTCTGTAAATACCGTTAAATAACACAAAAATGTTCGCAATATTATACTTAACAAACAAGAAGTGACTGAAAATTAGTAGCGATAAAATTCTTCGCGCCTTTCTACGCCTTTCCACAGATTATAATAAACCATAGACATAATGTAATTCTTTACACAGATAATACTAAACTACATAAAAGAAGAATATTGTAGTATCGTTGCTCAGAAAATCATGCTTCTGTCGTTATACAAGGCAATTTAGTATCATTGAGTTAATATATTACTGTAATCTAACGCTTTTCTAACACCAACACGATACACGTACCACCTGTCGTGGCACTTTTAATCCTGTTACTTACCATATAACCGATCCTGTCTACAATTACGTTTACCATAGACTAAAAAAAAAATAGAATGACGATGTAGACAGATATTGTATAATTTTGCAGTGACGGATTATTGTAGGGTGAACTGCTACGTAACGCGTTACGACCTTGGTCGGACTTTCATTTACGAAAATAAATATTTAAAATTCTATTGTTTTAAGCTTTTAGTCGAGGTATTTTCTTTAAAGGCATTTATTTAAATTTTTAATCGTCTAATTCCGTTCGTGAAAAAAAAAAATCAGTTAAATCCCGTGGTTATTACGGCATTATTTTTGAAGTAACTACTACAAGAAAGTGGCGATTTTTATACTAGAACTTTAAAGTATATTAATATATAAAATGTTTATAATATAAAGAATATTAGTAAGTTAACCCGCAACCTATATTAGTCAGCGGTCATGGAGGTTTGATACACTGGTGCCATCTAGAACATTTAACTTGATGTAAGTATATATCGGCGCAAAACAGGCGATTCGTTACGTCATCGCTGCACGTGTTCCTAACGGCGTAAACAAGTGACTCACGTCGGTCGCTCCACTGAAATCCCCCACTACGTGCTTATATAAGGCCGTCCGTTGTAGCGCAGGGCACTTTTGAGGACAGCCAGAAGTCTCACTTCGCACACGGGCCTACAAGCAACAACAAGTCTCCTGTGGACTTTCGGGAAGAAAGGCGAACGGAGCCCACACCGTGATATCCAGCGCACTGCGCCGAACCTCGCCCGTGGCTTCGCCTCTTGGGCCGAGGGCGCAGCACGCTTCAGGCCGTGCCGACTTCTCCACCATTGCTACCTACACCAAGAATGAAATTCAACTCGTCGGGCGTCGGCCGCCTTCGCTCGACTAGCGATCGAGCTGGCTCGCGACGTGATCCGGCTCGGGCCGTCGACGCATCATCATCGAAACCCGACGTGACTCCACACACCAGCGCCACCGCCGCTGACGCCACCGCCGATGACGCCACCGCCGCTACCGTCGCCGCCGAGATCGCTGCGACGCCCATGCCTTCCTTCCTCGATTCCATCGAATCGCATTTCCTAGCCCTATCGCAAGGCTCTCCCGAGGTCCTGGACGCGATGTTCCGGTCCCTGTCGGGTGACGTCCCTCCTGCGCCGCGGGGCTCCCCGAGAGCGTTGCTTTATTCCGACGCAATTGCTTACGCAATTGTAAGGAAGCAAGTAGCGTTCTCGGACGGCCTAAACGCGGCGGTCAGGGCGTACCTTGACAGGACCGAGACAGAGCTAAGGGCCGAGGGATTGCTAAGCACTCCCCTAACGCAGGACGAGTCGGCAGTTGCCTACGGCAACATTGCACGGTCGACCCCCCTGCGTCGCCCCCGACCGGAATCCCCCTCCCCTCCTGCCCGCGACCCCAAGAGGCCGTGCCAGGACGCTACCATCCCGTCCTTCCCGGAACCCCTCTCCCAGCGGGATCCTCGGCTGCGACGAAGACTCGCGCTCCCCGTTCCGGAGCCCGCCGCGCCACCCGCGCCTGCCCCGCGCGCCGCACCTGTCGCGCCCGCTGCCGCGCTTGCCGCGCCTATCGCCGCGCCTGCCGTACGCTCCGCGCACACTCCGAGCGCCGCGCCTACCTCGAGCGCCGAGCCCGCTACTACGATCGACGCACCCCGGTCGTTCGCACAGCTCGCGGCCGCACCTGCCGCGGGCCGCCGCCCGGCATCGCCGCTGCCACAGACGTCCACCGCTACCACCGCCGCTGCCGCTGCCACCCCGCGCTACCCGCCACTAATTGTGGAGGTCCTGCCCGAGTGGACGACGCACTTCCGTGCCCTGAGGGACCGTCTCGGGCACGCGCCGAACGCGCGCCCCTTCGGCAGAGGGGTGCGCTTCTCACCAAAGTACGGGGAGGAGTACCGCACCGTGCAACGGTACCTGACGGAGCTCGAGAAGAACCAGAAGGTGTCGTGGTTCTCGTACTCGCTCCCCGCCGAACGCGACTTCAAGGTGGCGATCCGGGGCCTCCCGGCCGACACCGACCCTCAGCTCATCATGAAGGAGCTCAAGAGCAGGGGCTTCGAGCCCGTGCACGCCCAGCGCATCCAGTCATCCCAGGGGGGCCCCGGGTGCCTCTTCCTGATTATCTTAAAGAGGACACCGGGCCTCACCCCAGCCATTTTCTGCATCACCGAGCTCCTGTGCATGCCGGCCTTGACTGTGGAGGCGTGGCGCGGTAAACGCGGGCCCGCGCAGTGCCACAGGTGTCAAGCTTTCCGGCACTCCTCACACCACTGCCACCGACCCCAGGCTTGTGTACGATGCGGCGGCGAGCATCATGCAGCGGACTGCCCGCGCCCGCGGGACGAACCCGCAACCTGCGCCAACTGCAAAGGCGCACACCCTGCAAACCATTCCTCGTGCCCCGTTCGTCGCAGCGAGATGCGTAACAAGAAGGCGGGCACGGTGGCCTCCTCGGCCGCCATGAAGCAGCCCAAACCCCAACAGAAGGACCCAGAAGCCGAACCGCCGACCCATCGTGGCCCGCGGACCGGCAAGACAAAGAAGCGCGGCGGAAAGGGACGGATAGCTTCCGCCCCCCCCGCACCCCCAACGGCGCAACTGCATCGCCTCAGCGCCGCCGAAGCCTCGACCCGCGTTCCGCGGACGACCCCGCATTCGACCGTCGACCGGCCCATTGCACTAACCCACGCGGCTCTCGCGTCTATTGTGGAAGCGGCTGTACAGTCTGCGCTCGCCGCCATCAAAACCACAGGCAAGAAGGAAACCGCGCCGAAAACGGCGTGGCCACAGTGAATTAACCCTGTTTACGAAGATCACCTCGACGCAACACGGCGCGTCTCACCTGCGATTCATCCGCTGGCCGTACCTCACTGGGCCTCCCTCGGGGCTACCGGGGGTCTCACTCGGTGGGGGCGTGCCGCGCGCACCTGGGACGCACCGCCCGCGCACATGACCAACATTTTGAAGACGCCACTGTGTGTTATTGATACACAAACAGCGACCAGCCCGTATTGACGGGTTGCGAACCGGACACCCCCCGCGAGCACTAGAATGCGAAAGGGGATCCCGACGGCCGCTTGCGCGGCCGGCGGAAGAAGACCCACTGGGAGGGCACCTTTTGAGAGACGGCGCTCTGAGAGCGAACGTCTAGTCTATAGCTATTTTTATTCAATTATAAAAGTGTTTCAATAGTAAAAATGGACCACTCTAACAATATTGACAATTATGACGTCGGTGCTGCCGACGTCACCAATTTTAAAAACAATTCTGGATCACATACTTCGACATCAGAAGTGGGATTACCTACCTTCTCCGCTCAATAGCCTGATACAAGGAAATTACATACTGGAAATGGCAATGATGGAATACCGATGGAAACCTTAGTTCCAACACTTGCACTTTGTCAAAAAAGAAACTCAAGAGTTAGAAACCTTGGCAGTGGATTCATCGATGGTGGACATTTCTACAAAATTATGATTTCGATATTGAATATCACAAGGGTTCAGGGGTAAGAACCCAGCAGAATTTACAGTTAATGTAATGACCTATGACCTTGTCTGGTAAAAAATTAAAAAGAAAAACGACGTGATGAAGCGCTATGGACTGTGATGGTTGCTTTTCAGTGGATTTGTTTAAACTCATTCCATACTGGATTGAAGTATCAAGTTTAATAAAAAAATTTAGGACAGCTGGTTTATCAACCTGAATACAATAATTCGGCAATTGGTGGATAATTGTGTTGTATGCAGATCGTCAAAATACACCTGTTTGAAAACATTAATATTTTTCACATGTTATTGCACATGAAGGCACTATATAATTTAAAAATCGAAAATAAATTGAAAAAATTTTCGACTCGGGCAGGACTTGAACCGGCATCGTCAGCTTTCCGTGCTGTTGCTCTACCAATTGAGCTACCGAGTCCTACACCTCATCGTCGAATTTTTTCAACTTATTGATACATGCACCTCTCGCGCAATGTAATTTCTACCTTAACACTTGCGTATTAAGGCTCAATGTCTTATGCTTTGCAGCTTAAGAAATCATTGAAGATGAAATTACAAAGTTATAACGTTTGAAAACATTAATATTTTTCACATGTTATTGCACATGAAGGCACTATATAATTTAAAAATCGAAAATAAATTGAAAAAATTTTTTTCGACTCGGGCAGGACTTGAACCGGCATCGTCAGCTTTCCGTGCTGTTGCTCTACCAATTGAGCTACCGAGTCCTACACCTCATCGTCGAATTTTTTCAACTTATTGATACATGCACCTCTCGCGCAATGTAATTTCTACCTTAACACTTGCGTATTAAGGCTCAATGTCTTATGCTTTGCAGCTTAAGAAATCATTGAAGATGAAATTACAAAGTTATAACGTTTGAAAACATTAATATTTTTCACATGTTATTGCACATGAAGGCACTATATAATTTAAAAATCGAAAATAAATTGAAAAAATTTTCGACTCGGGCAGGACTTGAACCGGCATCGTCAGCTTTCCGTGCTGTTGCTCTACCAATTGAGCTACCGAGTCCTACACCTCATCGTCGAATTTTTTTCAACTTATTGATACATGCACCTCTCGCGCAATGTAATTTCTACCTTAACACTTGCGTATTAAGGCTCAATGTCTTATGCTTTGCAGCTTAAGAAATCATTGAAGATGAAATTACAAAGTTATAACGTTTGAAAACATTAATATTTTTCACATGTTATTGCACATGAAGGCACTATATAATTTAAAAATCGAAAATAAATTGAAAAAATTTTCGACTCGGGCAGGACTTGAACCGGCATCGTCAGCTTTCCGTGCTGTTGCTCTACCAATTGAGCTACCGAGTCCTACACCTCATCGTCGAATTTTTTCAACTTATTGATACATGCACCTCTCGCGCAATGTAATTTCTACCTTAACACTTGCGTATTAAGGCTCAATGTCTTATGCTTTGCAGCTTAAGAAATCATTGAAGATGAAATTACAAAGTTATAACGTTTGAAAACATTAATATTTTTCACATGTTATTGCACATGAAGGCACTATATAATTTAAAAATCGAAAATAAATTGAAAAAATTTTCGACTCGGGCAGGACTTGAACCGGCATCGTCAGCTTTCCGTGCTGTTGCTCTACCAATTGAGCTACCGAGTCCTACACCTCATCGTCGAATTTTTTCAACTTATTGATACATGCACCTCTCGCGCAATGTAATTTCTACCTTAACACTTGCGTATTAAGGCTCAATGTCTTATGCTTTGCAGCTTAAGAAATCATTGAAGATGAAATTACAAAGTTATAACGTTTGAAAACATTAATATTTTTCACATGTTATTGCACATGAAGGCACTATATAATTTAAAAATCGAAAATAAATTGAAAAAAATTTTTTTTTTTTTTAAAAATCGAAAATAAATTGAAAAAATTTTCGACTCGGGCAGGACTTGAACCGGCATCGTCAGCTTTCCGTGCTGTTGCTCTACCAATTGAGCTACCGAGTCCTACACCTCATCGTCGAATTTTTTCAACTTATTGATACATGCACCTCTCGCGCAATGTAATTTCTACCTTAACACTTGCGTATTAAGGCTCAATGTCTTATGCTTTGCAGCTTAAGAAATCATTGAAGATGAAATTACAAAGTTATAACGTTTGAAAACATTAATATTTTTCACATGTTATTGCACATGAAGGCACTATATAATTTAAAAATCTTTTTTAAAAGTTAACAATGGCACGACGTTTCTAATGCTTAGCAACAGGTAACGAGGGATAGTAAAAATGAGAGAACTAATAAATTCCTCGTTTTAAACGGTTAAAAGTGTTTTATCTAAATAAATCAACTTGCTTTGAAAATAAACCATATCTTCGTAATCATGTCCCTCGGTTAAATATTTCAGAAATGTCAATTAAGTATTCGGGAACGAAAGGCCGGGCAAATTATAGGAGCAGAAATCAGGTAGCGAATATCGAATGAGATGAGAATACTGATTGAAGACCAGAAAATGACCGGCTACCGTAACAAAGTTGCGTTCTCATTGATTACTTATTCCATTCGGGTGTTTTCTTTTATTACTTTTTGGCAAATCAAATTGGTAAGTGCAGAATATGCCACTACGTGCAATTTAGCTTTTTAAGTGACGACGAAGTATAAATTAAATCATTTTTTAAATCTAAAATAGATTTTTAATTTATACATTGCCATCATGTGTAATTATTGTATATGGTCTATGTACTTACGTAGAGAATGTACGTTTGTATTTTCCAAGTTATCGTCAAAAATACTAATCCTTAATTAATGAGGTTTCAAACGATTCGTAGTTACGGTAAATATCGCGAAATACATAAAATACAATATATAAATTTGGGATAGGATTTTGATCCGGAGTTTTGACCTGGAAAAAGTTACTGAAATCACCGTGGTCCCACGTTTACTATCTCTGCTTTAGACAAAACCGTATTATTTCTATCAAACTGTATGATTGTAGAGTAAACGTATTATTGGCTGTCTGTAGTTTACGAGAGTATTACACATTTTAAAACACATTTAACGGATTAAAACGCGGAATGTATTAGTTAATCTTATTTACAATACTAAAATCACATTAAAATACTTAAACTGTGATTTTACTATTCTTCTTCTCTTTCCATTATTTATTTCTCGTGAAATAAATGTCTTTGGTAAGTGAAACAATTGAGGACCGGGGGCGGCGCGGGCGCAGCGGTGTAATTTAAGCACTATACAATAGATATAAAGATAAGAATGTTAGGTACAGGTGTACAGGTGTAATCAGTGTTAGGAATGCAGAGGCAGGTGACAGGACGAACATGTTCCGCGGCCCGCGGCACCGACTCAAATCACATCTATTAAGGACTATGACTCGCCACAGACCTACTTAATCCACTAATTAGTATTTTTTATGATAGAGAAGTATAGACAAGCATGGGGTTTATTTCATGGACGGTGAAGTATACGCGCAGACCGAAATCGGTAACATCACGGTATTATTTTTTGCGGAAGGTGGTTCGTGATGAAATTTAGGTATACCGTTTATATCCAGATTTCCAGAAAAAGTGTAAGACGTTTCAGAAAAACTATAAATTGATTAGAAGGATGTTTGACCTCATGGGGATCGAAGGCACGACCCGTTTATTCTTATTTTGTTGCCATTAGATCAAAGGGTCGGTCTATGAGTTCTCTGAGAACGCAGGATCCTAAACATCATTTAATTAATTTTTAATTGTATACAGAACATATGTAATTTATGCGAGTGATACACGCTTGATATGACATTTTCAACTGTCGTGGTTACAGAGACGATGGCTACTGAGTGTCATGTATGTACTTTTAAATATAATAAGGGTATAATAGCCTTTCTCGACTGTACTAGTATACTTTCGTGTAGTATAGTATATGTCGAAGTATGTGATCCAGAATTGTTTTTAAAATTGGTGACGTCGGCAGCACCGACGTCATAATTGTCAATATTGTTAGAGTGGTCCATTTTTACTATTGAAACACTTTTATAATTGAATAAAAATAGCTATAGACTAGACGTTCGCTCTCAGAGCGCCGTCTCTCCAAAAGTGCCCTGCGCTACAACGGACGGCCTTATATAAGCACGTAGTGGGGGATTTCAGTGGAGCGACCGACGTGAGTCACTTGTTTACGCCGTTAGGAACACGTGCAGCGATGACGTAACGAATCGCCTGTTTTGCGCCGATACGACCATCCTGACCGGCTGTGCGCGCTCTGCACTAGCCGTTTTGGTGTTTTACTGATGATTATTAATTTCTGAAACTGGTAAATTTTAATCTTTGAGATTGGTATCTGTGAACCAGGTTGCTAATAATTATTATGGTCAGCAATAAGATTCATATCTGACTGAGTTTAGTGTATACTGTAGTGTTATGTTGTCACGTACACTGTGACACCAAAGTCAGGCACTCTGTGGTACCAAAGTCGTGTACCCTGTGGTACTATTGTCGTGTAACACATCACAATAGTTACAGTGACAAATTATATTGGTAAAAGGTCATTTTAATTAACTGTTCATTCCACATGACAACAGTTTAAATCATTGATATTGTAAACGGTGACTTATTTAAGTAAACTGCTCATTCCACATGACAACAGTTAAGGACTAAT